GGCTCACTGTTGCTCCCATTTAACCGATATGGAAACAGCAGTGCCGAAAGGTTTATATAACTTCACCAAGGGCACAGGCCCAGCATGTGATAGATATTTGTTGAGATCAGGCTAATTACTATGTATAGGGAGCCAGGATCCCAAAGGCCCTGGGTGACTTGCTAATGCTGGGGCCGCAAAAACTTTACATCTACCTCCTTAGGGGCTCTGGCTGGGCCTGAGAATCAAATTTACCTGAAAAGATAAGAGAAAAGCGTACATGTTCAGTCAATACAAGTTTTACAGCGACCTGAGAGCCTTCATGAGGAAATGACCCAGAGGAGTGGCAAAACTTGAATACTTATATACTGGGTTAAAGAGAGAGAGGATTGTGTAAAAGTAACTACAATAAAATGGGGAGACTACAGGAGGGTAAGTTATTTTACAAGGTCCCTTTGTACACATTCTGCTAGACTCAACTCCGTCTCTGGGGGTAAAAATGTTTCTATTCCTCCAGGCAGAGGGAGGGCTGTTCTCACAGAAGATGAGAGTTTCATCTTCTGCTTCACCCCCCTCCCCCCCCTTTTTTTTTGCACCTGCTGTTTCCCAGATGTCTTTAACTCAACATGATCAATATGCGAAGGCTGCATGTTTGCAGGCGATGCGTCCTAAAGGCCTTCACTGACATTGTCAACACTGTTTGCCCTTGGAATGTGAGCTCCACAGGGCAGAACAATATCCTATATAATAAGAGGCTAAGCCACCATTACGGTGGAGCGACTGGAACGACCTGTTGCTATGACGGGCACTGAGCAGGCAGGCAGGCAGGCGAGTGGTTAGGGGCAATCAGACAGGCAGGCAGGCAGAGTGGTTAGGAGCCAACGGTCCGGATTGTGAGAGGGATGTCCGACTGCTGGCTTAGGCTTGATCCCTGGCAGTCAGACATCCCCAGAGGGGTCCCAGATTTCGAGAGTTCACAGACCAGGCTGAACTTCGGGCCTCTAGTTTCTTAATATTTCTTGAATGTTGAAGTGCTGCAAGAAACCAATGAGGCTTCTAGGTTGTGCTTCCCATGATGCATAAACACTTGTGTGAAGTGTTCACTTGTTGAATAAAAAATGTGGTTGGATGGGACAGAGTTGTTCTACCTGGAAATAAGAGACTTGAGTAGGAGGTGTCTCCATGGCCAGTCCCAGGGCAATGGTTTTTGGTAAGTGGTTTAATTTTTTGACTTTGTAAACGTGGGATGAGAAATGGGTATGAACTACAAAGTTAAGAGAGTGGCATGAGCATTGCTAAGTAATGCTGGTAGTCTGCTGTGGCGAGTGTGAAATTTGGCATCAGAATATCTGAATGTGACTAAAACCCTGCAGGACAGCAGGACCTTACACAGTCATTTCACGCCTCTGGACCTCAACCTTTACGTGTGTTAAATGAAAACTATGTTAATACCTGCCAAGACGCCAACATGTAATGTTTAAAACCAATCACTGAGAAGTAGCAGTATTAATATATTGTCTTAAAATACCGAGATAATTATCAGATGAGATAATTTAAAGAGTAGGAACTATTTGTCTCTGAAGAGCAGGGCCGAGGGGTACGAAGGGCTGAGTGAGAAGGCTGCTGTTTTCATTATGAGCCTTTTAATGCTGCATCAGCGAGCTCCTGCTGTGTACAACAACTCTATTTTAGTTAAACCTGAGTTTAGACTCTGCAGACGCCACGCTCTGCAGTCAGGCAATGCACCCACGGGCTGCGGCAATACAGCAGGTTACATCCCGCGGGTGCTGTGGGTGGATCGGACCGGCCACTCGGGGCGGGATTTCGTGAGTACACGTGAGTACACGGGATTCTCGCGGTGATGGAGCTTCCAATTGGAACCCTATTAGGACGCAGTCAGCCCATTCCTACCGGCTCTTTAAGGTGAGATCGGCCGGCCGGATGTGACGTAACGCGATGCAAGAGGCTTGCGTCTGCGCAGTGAAGGGAGATAGGAGGCCCGGCGTGCGTCTGCGCAGTGCGGAGCTGAGGGCCCTGATAGGGCGGCGTGCGTGCGTGCGTGCTCCCGTGCGTCCCCGTTTGCCTCCCGTTTAGTCCGGTTCCGGTCCTGTGGTCCCGGTGCAGAAGTGCTGCGGTTCGGGAGGCGGGCTCGTGGCTGCGGGAGGAGAGGCGAGGTGCGGGTCGGGCCTGGGGCGCTCGGCGCTTGCGCAGGCCGTGGCGCTGCGGGTGGCGAGAGGGCGCCTGGCCCCCCAGGCGGGACCGTCCCGCGCCGCCGGGGCGGGGCCTCGGGAGGAAGCACCCCCAGACGGCTCCCCGATTTCGCCGCCTGAGCACCGCGCGGCCCTCTAGGATAAGGAGATAGACTTTCCGCTGCCGGCGCGGCAACAGCGCTAAAACTTGCAAAATTGTGTGCATAGCATCCCCCCAGTTTGGGAGTAGTTAATCCTGTTTGTCGAAATTGTAATAAAATACAGTCTGTTTTGCACGGACAACAAACTTTCCGGCAAAAGAAGGGGCTAAAACCTATCCAGATCCTGGGGGAGCCGCTGTCAATGAATGATCTAGTCGGGTTGCGTTTAGTGAGGGGATTCCCATCCTTCGCCGTCGTAAAAAACCTGTGTTCAAATATTAAAACTGTTACCCCCACTCCCACCCCCGCCCCGAATTTTTAGTACAGTTATTGGAACTAAACAAAAAAATCCCCTCCAAAAATTTCATAGGCCAGTTGCTAAAGACTGTGGACTTAGTGTTTTGCCCGTGCAATGGCTTTAGTCATTTCTGTGTAAAAGAAACGTGCTGCAAAGAGAGAAAGCTGCATTGTGTGAACTGCAAGGCCCGTGCCCTTGTGTTTCAGAAAACTCCATTTGCAATATATTATTAGAAATTGGGTTTTTAAAAACATGGTCAGAGAAACGAAATACGAACGAGGGTGAGCAACCGTACTGTGTTTTCATCTCAGAAAACACAGCAGTTGAAGTTCTGGGTAAACCAATATTAACCAAAAATGCTTTTTTTCATATTCCGTTGTGTTCGCCTATCAGAACTGTTTCCCCGAGAGGCACAGGTAGTTACTCTGCCTAAAAATGTTCCAAGACTTTAAAATGGTGGCTCTTCCAGGGTGGCGGTAAAAGTTTGTTAAATACCTTTCGTTTTATTTTTTAAATCAAGTCTTTAAAAATACAGCGTAAAAATGGCTTCAAAAAGGGCGCTGGTCATCCTGGCCAAAGGAGCAGAGGAGATGGAGACGGTCATCCCTGTGGATGTCATGCGGCGAGCTGGCGTAAGTCCCTCCCCCTTTTAAAATCCTGGTTTGACGTTTAAAAGTCATTCTGAATAAAACAGTATTCAACTGTGTGAAATATTTCAAACACAACAGACTGCATAGTAATGACCTGTTGATCCAATATCTACACTTAATACTTGTTAACTGTTTGCCCTGTTTCCGTCAGAGCATTTCTTGAAGAACAAATGCTTTAATAAAGAGAGAGAACATTGCAAAGCACTCTGTGAATTTCCCCAACGCTATTCCCCTGGCAACCCAGAGATAACAGCCTCAGACTGTAGTTCTCACCTTGCTTCTCTGTGTTACGTACCTATATATGTCGTCTGTGACCATTGTGAATCCGTAAGTAGCATTTCCTCAGTGCTGGGTATCATTCTAAGCCAGTGGTTCTCAACCTTCCTAATGCCGCGACCCTTTAATAAAGTTCCTCATGTTGTGTGGTGACCCCCAATTTCATTGTTACAAATTGAACATAATGAAAGCATAGCGATTCATCACAAAAACAATATGTAATTATATATGTGTTTTTGGTCTTAGGCCACCTCTGTGAAAGGGTCGTTCGACCCCCAAAGGGGTCGCGACCCACAGGTTGAGAACCGCTGCCCTAGAGGGTTGTCTCGCGGCATCACAGCACTGCCATGTCCTCGCACAGGCCTCCTGGCGCAAACGTGAACGTGAACCTGGTGGGCGGAAGGACCCGCCCCTCGTTGGTGTTCCTAGATTTTGTTAAATGTAAATGACTCCAAGTTCCAGCGTGTTGGACCCACCAGCCGTGTAGGAAAATCCCCGTTTTCCCCGACCCAGCTCTTGGTGTTGTCAGCTTGGTAAATCTTTGCGAGATTAAGCGGCATTTCCTCACTTTCATGGCAACAGCGACTTGCACGGTGGGTTAGTGATAGAACGACCATAGGACTTACCTCCCGAACCAGAACGCCGGCGGGAGAAAGGGCGCTGACCGGACGGCGCTGGGCGCATCTGGACCAGCTCCGTCCCAGGCAGACAGGACGGACCTCGTTATTCATCGCATTTCGCCGATTGATTAGCTTGAAGCCAGCGTGGTTTTGTTGCCCATTTTCCTGTCAGTTATTTTAAAACCCAGGGCAGCTGTGCAGGCGTGACTCCGTTTCAGTGTTAACTATCACGACGACCTCTTTCTCGTAGATTAAGGTCACCGTTGCGGGTTTGGCGGGAAAGGACCCGGTGCAGTGCAGCCGAGATGTTATCATCTGTCCTGATGCCAGCCTGGAAGACGCCAGAAAAGAGGTTCGTTCTCCGTCCTTGAAACGCCTCCTCCCTCTGGCTTCTTGGTCGGTTTCTTGAGTCCGTGTAAGGCTGCTGTTAGCACAGACTTGTTTTAGGAAAGTTACTTTGCTTGAACATCTTCCCCGCATCTGCCCTGTAGGGGGAGGACTTTGCCTTTTTCCATCGTGTAGCTGGCAGCTCCTGGTCCTTCCTGTGCTCAGTAGGTGGCTGGGTGGGCAGGTGGATGGAGGGGACACTTGCAGGGAGCAGTGTCCTGGCTTCCACGGGCAGCCCTGCCTCCTGTTACAACTTTGTCACTTGATATAAGTGAATCAGCTGCCATGTTCCCATTCACTTCCGAGCCTTTATTCGAAAGCCACTCTCTACCTTTCCTTGTGCAGTGAAACAGAAGTAGTTGTGTGATTCATTTTGCGTGGACAGCTCATCCCTGGTCAGTGGTTGGCTTAAGGGAGGAGGAGGAGTTCCCCTTCAATTGTGTCACTTTGTCAGTGTCTTTAGAAATGTGGTTCGTAATCTTAGGCATGACCAGCACTGTGGTGCTCTGTCGAGCTGAGGTCTCTCCTCAGGAGCGTGCACGCACGTGTGCACAGATACCTTTGCACACCCTTTCCTGGCTGCAGGCTTGCCTGGCCCGTGTGCCAGCCAGAGACCCCCTCAGCCCCCCAGCCGCCCAGGGCTGCCCAAGGCTCAGGTAACCAGGGCCAGCCAAGGCTTGCGCTGTCGGCAGTGGCAGCAGCAGAGGTGTGATGGGGCATGGCCTTTCCCTGATCGCCGCGTCGCCTCCTGCCCCTGAGGGCTCCTGGACTGTGAGAGGAGGCAGGCCGGGCTGAGGGACCCCCACCTCCAGTGCATGCATTTTCATGCACCGGGCCTCTAGTTTACATATATATGTTGAAACTTTCTAAGTAGCACCTTACAAGTGAGAGTCGAAGTAAATATTCCTTCTCTTTTTTCAGCCTTTTGTGTTTTAGAACTGTTGTTACCTTTTGTGTCCATGTGTGGGCCAGTTCAATATCTAAAAGGAGTAAAAGAGAATCTATACTTCACATATTTTCTTTTTAGTGTTTAATTTTGCTTGGTTTAAAAACAACAGTGGGATGTTTATAGTATCTAAAAGTAATTCTAAATAACAGATGTTGCTCTAAATATGGACTACATTGTCATTTTGTAATTTGCTTAATGACTAAATTTTTAAAACTTTTTTAACATCTGAAAGCATTGTTAAAAAAATTTCCAGTTTGTAATTTTAGCAAATTTGAAATCATTAGATTTCTAGGGTGTTTTGGTGTTGGGGATACTAAAATATGACATCATATTTCTCTCCCAAGTTTCATTTCTCATAAGGTTAAAAATATTTTTCTTTGCCTGTTACTTAAAATTTGTTTTTCTTTTGACTACACTTCATTACTCTGTACTACATTCTTGTTGAAAAAGAACTCTTACAGTATAGACATACAGAAAGTTAAAATGTTAAGTGTCTCATTCTCTCCCTCCCCCCATCCCACACTGCTCCCCATTAGCAGTTGGAGTATCTTCTTTGTCAATGAGTGTCTGTATACTATACACATGTATGTGGGGGTGTATACACACATACATGCAGCTTTTACAAGAAGGAGGTCATGCTACACCTGCAGTTCTCCAACATGGATGTCTTTTCATGCACAGATTTTCTGCATGTGTTGCTGGTTACAACATGTCATCATAGAGATACACCTTAATTTAGATACACCTTAATTTATTTAACTTTTTGGTGAACAGTTTTTTGCTGTGACCCATATTTAAAATAGGAAAGTGTTATTGACTGTCGCGTCCATGCACATTTCAAATGAAATGTTATTTCTTAAACTGTTACAGGGACCTTATGATGTAGTGGTTCTGCCGGGAGGTAATCTGGGCGCACAGAATTTATGTGAGGTAAGAACTGTGTAGAGAAAGTGTTTCCACGTGTGCTGTGTTCTGTTGATTTTGCTATTATTAAAGTATTTTGGGAAAGGGGCTGTGAATAGAATAGGAACAGGTGAAATGAACAATTCTGTCTTCATTTTAAAAAACCATTTCTAAGGACATACGCTACAGAAGTCAGCTGAGCTGGTGGACAGTAGTTTATGAACACATTTGGTGAACACAGTCCAGATGTTAGAGCACATTTTCCCCTCTAAGCAGCAAAAGGAAAAATCTATGTTCTATTCAGGTTAGGCATAGAAGGATGAGAGCTTAGCTGTCTCCTCACCAATCGGGGAGCCGGGGGCGGGGCGGCTGGGGCTGCAGCCTGAATGAAAGGGGCATGAGGCGCAGGTGAGGAGTCCGCCTGCAAGGAGGGAGGGGAGGGACAGCCAGGCTCCGGGAGCAGGCGGAATCAGACATCGGGGCTGTGGGCCTCTTCCTGACTTCGCATCTGAAGACACCCAGCGCCACACTCCCTCATGTCCAGTTCTTTCTCCTTGGAGTACACGGGTGTGGGGGGAGAGAGGAGGGGTCGCTGTGCCCAGGGAAAGCTGTTTTCCTCATCTCCACTTCAAACAGCTTTTTAAAATATATATATATATATGTAGATAGGTAGATAGAGAGACGAAGGGAGAGGGGGAGAGAGACTGAAACATCAGTGACGAGAGAGAATCATTGGTCGGCTGCTCCTGCACACCCGTGATGAGAGAGAATCATTGGTCGGCTGCTCCTGCACACCCCCTGCTGGGAATGAGCCTGCAACTCAGGCGTGCACTCTGATCGGGAATTGAGCCATGACTGGTTCAAAGGTCAACACTCAACCGCTGAGCCATGCCAACCGGGCAACTCAAACACCTTTAAGAAAAGGATGCCTTTCTCTTATAATAAGTGCCTTGATTGGGTTTAGGGAGGAATGTAGAAGCATTATGAATTTGATCATTTTTATATTAATCATCTAGAAATACTGTTTAAAAGTAGTTACTAGTAGGTTTAAGATCTTGTGGATTAAGCTAAAATCAGATTCGGCTGAAGTTCCCAGCCAGATGCTGGCCGTGGCTTAACGAGAACTCGTGTGTTTGCTCTTGGACAGTCTGCTGCTGTGAAGGAGATCCTGAAGGAGCAGCAGGGCCGCAAGGGCCTCATCGCCGCCATCTGTGCAGGTACGTGCGGCCCTCCCTCCGCCAGCGTGTGTCGTCCTGGCCCCTGAGCCCCGTGACGGGGGACCCGCCTCTTCCCCTTCATAGAGCGTGGCAGCTTCTGGATCGGCGCTCTTAGTTTGGGTGGCATGAAGGAGGTCATTTCAATTCAGAAATGAGTACAGCTGTTCCTTTCTGCCTCCTCGTGCTTTGGTCTACGCTCCGTGAAACGTCGTGTTTTCTGTGTTTGGTTGACCTCGGAGGAAGACGAGGCCCTCTGGAACGCAGTAAACAGCTTGTTACGGCAGATCTCTCTAACCTCTCTCCCACGCCAGGAAGGACCTCGGCCAGCACCGTCAGCAGGAACCGCCAGCCACAAACAGCCCTGCCCCGCGCCTGCCCCGTGGCTCCGCGGCCTCGACACTTCCTGCCTGGCCCTCGGTGCTGTGCTGGGTCCAGCACGGAGCTCCCTGCCACCTAGTTCAGAGGAAGGTCACTGTGCTTCATAGATGCCCCACAGCTTAGAAACTTAGAAATATTTTTACTTCAATAACATTTTTTTAAGAGGGAGAGAGATAGAGAGATGAAAACATGGATGAGAGAGAAACATCATTGCTTGGCTGCCTCCTGCACACCCCCTGTGGGAATCGAGCCTGACAGAATCGAGCCGTGACCTCCATAGTGTAATTTTTGTCATAGGCGCCTCACTTGTCGTAGGTCTTCATTAAATGCTTGTCAAGAGTGAAGTGAATGAACGAATGGGTGGACTGGATGAAATGGTGCAGTGATGTTTTCTTCAATACGGTGGACTTTTTACAATCGTAGGCTAGCGATCCTCGGGACTCTGTTAGAGCCGCGGTGGCCAGCGTTCTTTCAAAGGGTTCGAAAGGTCAGCAGATACTGTGAAGACATCATTTGCCTTTTTCCTTCTTGTTCTCGCAGGAGTGATAGCAGAGTGTGTCGACGTTATTCTTCGGGCTTGGTGTGTGTGCGAGGATTGTGTTGCAGTTTCCCAGCTTTAATGTCTAACGGGGCAGTTATTAAGAGAGAGAACCCACATGAGAGCTAGCGGGTTCCTAAGGCCTAAATGTTTGAGAACCGCTGTGTGAGAGACGGGGACGGTAGCGGCGGGGACCGCCCCGCAGGCGCTGTCCTTGGCTCCTGCTCAGCACCAGCTTCTTGACCTGCCCTTGGGCACAGGGACTTCTCTGCTGGAGGCCTCCAGTCAGGCAGCCCCGCAGCTGCGCCCTGTTGGGGAGCAAGTGGAGGCCGGCTTAGCTGTGTAAGGACTTGGCCCCGGTGCCCCAGCCTCGTCCTTAGTGCTCTCACCACAGGAGAGGAAAGCTGGGGCTGGGGCCGTTCCTGAGACGCTGCTGTAAACCACATGTCGGTTTGTCCTGTGCCGCGGGATAGCGGGGTTATCAGCCACATCTGGGTCACTGTTTTCACTCGGGCAGGCCTGAGTGCTTAGGCCTCGAGTCATTGAAACCGACAGTAAAAAGTGACAGCGCTCTAACCGTGGGCTTGTGTTCAGGGTCCTGCCCCACTCCTCTGGGCGCTGCAAACACCGAGAAGCGTGACGAGAAATGCGATGATTTGGTGTTGCAGTTACAAATGGGGAACAGAAGGAATATGAGCTTAGCCCAGGGGTGGGCAAACTTTTTGACTCGAGGGCCACAATGGGTTCTTAAACTGGACCGGAGGGCCGGAACAAAAGCATGGATGGAGTGTTTGTGTGAACTAATATAAATTCAAAGTAAACATCATTACATAAAAGGGTACAGTCTTTTTTTTTTTTTTTTAGTTTTATTCATTTCAAACGGGCCAGATCCGGCCCGCGGGCCGTAGTTTGCCCACGGCTGGCTTAGTCCCTAACGCTGAGTGAGTGAGACAGAAATTGGAAGGGAGACTATTGTGAAAAGAAAGTAAGAGAGATTTGCTCAGGGTGGGGGAAGGGAAAGGAAGCCTGGACAGGACGGAGCCAGCAGTGGTCCATGCCTGCGTCTAGGTACAATCTCAGGGACCCCTGGAGGGGTTGGGGGTGGCCCAGGTGTTCTTCCTGTAAATCACCACACGGTGGCACTGCAGGCTTCCTCTCGGCTGCCCAAGGGGCTCTGTCTACTGTTCACCCTTCCTCCTGCTCAGAGCTGGTGTCTGCAGTTTGAAGTCATATAGCTAATAGTTAGTATGTAGTTAATGGGCAGTAGTAGCTCATTTTCCAAATGGGATCTGGAAGCCCAGGCAGCAGTAGTGACGAGCTTCCCATGATGAGTAAGGCAGCAGCAGATTTCTACACTCAACTGTCACATAAACGTATTGACACATCACCAGGCAGCAGTTGTATCATGTGGAAGGAGCAGCCTAAATGCCTGTGTGACTGCACTCCTCACTGCACGGCCTCTCCTGGGGGTTGCTGTAACCTAAGATAATGTGGGTCGTGACTCCTTATTTTCTTAAAATCTTACAAAATAAGATAAAGGGTCATTCGTGAGTTCATCAAAATAAAAAAATGAGTGACAATTATGCAGTTTTTATAGACTTTTAAAACATGCTGCCATACACAGCTGTCTCACACTGAGGATAAAAGTAAGGTGGAGAGAGACATCAAATATGTTTGAGGCTTTTAAAAAATATATATGTGTGTGTGTGTGTATGTGTGTATATATATATATACATACATATATATATATATATACATATATATATATATATATATATATATATATATATATGTTATTGATTTTTTACAGAGAGGAAGGGAGAGAGATAGAGAGTTAGAAACATCGATGAGAGAGACACATCGATCAGCTGCCTCCTGCACACTCCCTACTGGGGATGTGCCCGCAACCAAGATACATGCCCTTGACCGGAATCGAACCTGGGACCTTTCAGTCCGCAGGCCGACGCTCTATCCACTTAGCCAAACTGGTCAGGGCTGTTTGAGGCTTTTGATTGCAGAGATGAAGTCGGGACTGGGTCTGAAACTGACACCTGGCGTTGGCAGAAGCTTATGTAATTCGTGTTATTTGTTTGATCTTCCTTCGGAGCAGCTATGGTCTGAGGAGCTGTTGGTTATATAACTGCTTTCTGCTTGGATTCATGTTGCAAAATGAAAGGGCAGTAAGAGCGAGTGCTCGGGTTGCTGAGACTCGAGTGTGTGGACTGTCCTGGGCCTGAGCCACAGGCCCCCCCACTCGGAGGTCAGGGTGCGATTCTGAAGCATGTTGTTCTCGGTGTGACGTGAGGGCTTAGAAAGGTTTTTGTGTGTGTGTGTCTTAGAGAAAAAAGGTAGGATAACTAACTTTAAAGAGTTTTTAAGATCAGACAACAATGGTTTAAAATCTTTTTGGTTTTAGTCCTTATGTGAGGAACCTGTTACAAAATCTGCTTGGGATTGTCCATATCAGTGAAGTTGACATATCAGTGAACACATTTTGATGAATTTCATTTTAAGAGGGAAGAGATAGAGCAGCGGTTCTCAACCTGTGGGTCGCGACCCCTTTGGCGGTCGAACGACCCTTTCACAGGGGTCGCCTAAGACCATCCTGCACATCAGATATTTACATGACGATTCATAACAGTAGCAACATTACAGTTATGAAGTAGCAACAAAAATAATTTTACGGTTGGGTCACAACATGAGGAACTGTATTTAAAGGGCCAGAAGGTTGAGAACCACTGATATAGAGGATCGAAAATCGACATTTGTTTGTGGTTCTCTTAAGTAGCTGTAATAAGCATTAGTGCCTTCATATCTCAGACTCGCAGGCATTTCACAGGAATCTCCTCCAGGGCCGGATGGTGTTCCGTTCATTTAATAACCTTACTAGTACACCTGGTATGTTGGGATGGAGAGATGGATGAGTGCAGATGTTTTTAGATTCAAGTGAAAAAATAAAAGTGCTCTGAAAAACAGCAGTGAGGCCCGGAAGTTCGGAGAGTACCAGTTGCCTTTACTGTGTAACTAAAATTTTCATTTGTCAAGAGGATGAACTTGCTTTTTCAGACGACAAGGGTCTCCCCACTCTTGTACCCCCGACATGCGCACTGCCTGTTCCTTGAGGCGGGGCCACAGTCTGTTTACCTTTGTGCTCCTTGGGTGTCAAGGTGAGTCTTTTTGATGAAGTGGTTTTTGCCATTTTTTGAATTTGTGCACTTGCCAGAAGTGCTCAGTAGATGGTTTATTATAAACACTAGAGGCCCAGTGCACAACATTTGTGCACAGGTAGGGTCCCTAGGCCTGGCCGGCGATCAGGGCCTATCTGTGGGGCGATCGGGGGCCCCTGCTGGCACCCGCCTTGGCCAGCCTGGCCCGCCAACTGGCGGGGCGATCAGGAGGCAGCGCTGGCCTGCTCATCAGCTGGCCCTGCCCCCCTTCACTCCCCCCATCGCCCCATTGCTGCCGCAGGTCCACCTCCTTCTGCAGGAGGTGATGGGGGGGTGTGGCGCCGGCCGCTTGCCAGTGGGCCCCGCTCCCTGCTGTTGCCCGCTCGCTGGCTAGCCCCGAAGCCAGTCGCCTCCCTCTGCTGGGCAACCGGCAGGGTGATCAGGGGGGCCCCCCGCTGGGACCTGCCTTGGCTGGCCTGGGGCCTGCGGGCTGGGGGCAGCTCCTGTGTTGAGCGTCTGCCCCTAGTGGTCAGTGCGTGTCATAGTGACCGGTCCTTCTGCCGTTCAGTAGATTTGCATATTAGGCTTTTATTATATAGGAAGATACTTTACCTCTTGTACTAACAAGTGTATAACTTCAGAATCATAAGTATATTTTAGGTAAGAGCCTCCTGCTTTTGAAGAATATTTTTGCTGCTGCAATTTTTAAGACATGGTTTTTTCAATACACTTAAATCTTTTTTATTAATCTTTTTAGGTCCTACAGCTCTGTTGGCTCATGAAATAGGTTTTGGAAGCAAAGTTACAACACACCCACTGGCTAAAGACAAAATGATGAATGGGAGTAAGTATATGCTTATATTTTAAGGTACAAACAGACCTCAAAAAGCTGCAATTTAGCATCATTTCCCACCCGTGTGATCTGTCTGTAGAGGCTGCCTGTGGGTCGAGGGGTGCCGTGCTCCTCGCTTTCCCTGCAAGTATTTTCATCAGAGAGATGGTGCTGACGCGGCAGAGGCCCGGGCGGGGGCGGCTCCTGCTGGTGACACGCCAGGTCAACTAGTGTTTTTACCAAATACTTTGCCAGTGGCCTGAGGGTAAATCTTAAACCCGGACAGCAATTTCAGAAAGTGCCCTTTTGCCCAAGGTCCAGAGTAAAGCGAACGTTGCTCTCTCCCGTCAGAGAGGCCTGGGTGGCAGGCCGTGTCCTGGGGTGACCCGTTTCTCTTGTAATATCAGCTGGACATTTCACCTTTATTAGTTTATGTTCACGAGAGGAATTTCTTTACAGGACGGGAGGGTGAAGTGAATGCCTGTTTCTCCTCCAACTGCTCAGACTTTCGTGTGTGCCTCTAGAACGTTCTCTCCAAATGCTCATTATCCTTCGTAGTTTAATATTTTTACTCAAATGAGAGCTACTATGTCTGTTGTCCCGCAGCTGGCTTTTTAAGACTAACATCGTCTTACATATTTTTTGTTATTTATCAAAAATTTCTTTAATTCTCTTGAGTGGCTTCTTATTTGGAGGCTGTAGACGGAGCATGGCATTGCCTGTCCTCCAGGAGTTACTGCTCGCAGAGACACCTCCATCCGATTTAAAGCACAAGGTGTAGCATTAACAGCCCTGAATGTCCAACCACATCCTGATCGGTGCTTCCTTGGTGCCAGGGGCTGCCTCTCACGGTGCATTCAGAGCAGCAGCCGGGAGTGTCTTTCGTAGACAGGTGGTGTCTCCTCTGCCGTCTGTGCCTGGCGTGCATGTGACAGAGGCAGAGACCCTGAACTTGGAAAGAGAAAGAAAAGTCACACCTGTGTGGGTAATTGCAAGAGAATCATAAGTTTCCAGTCCAAACCAGATGCGGTTCACCTGGCATTCAGCTAGTGTGGCAACTGAGTTTAAAACCCCAACCAGCAAAAATCAGTGAATAAACAGACAAAACAAAATAGTCTCAAAAGCTGATTTAAGGTGACTGTGCAACTGATCCACTGTTGTGTAAATGTATGTGTTCCCCCACGTCCCGCGGGGTTCAGGGTTCGGGATCTGGAAGAGGGGCTGCACACAAATGAAAGAGACAAGACAAGTAATAATTTGGAAATTGGGGGGCCAGGCGAGAGCCCATCCCAAGAGGATGGCCTCCGCTTGTGCTCAGGCCTCGCCATCTTTTTGTTCAGTTTGGGATCCACCCATAGCCCTTAGACAGGCAGGTTCCAGTAACAGGCAGACAATCTTATCAGTGAGGATTGACATGACTATCTGGTGGGGAAGTTGCTTCAGCTACCATTGTCTCCACTAAACAGTGGGTGCATAGCCCTGACCTTTGCCAGGGCTCAAGGGTCACCAGCCTCCCGGGCTCCTTGTCCACACCTCTCCGCTAGTGAAGACAATACGCGGCTTCCCACACATTGTCTCCCCTCTCAGTCCTGCTCTGGGCTTATATTCTGAACTAAAACAAAGCACAACAGCTAACATACCTTACAGCAAAGTAAGCATTTCTCATTATATTGCTGTTTTTTAGAATAAATAAGATTTTTGAGAGCACTTTTAGGTTCACAGCAAAATCAAGCAGAAAGTAGAGTTTCCGTAGACTTGCTGCCCCGACACGCAGTCTCCCTCACCACCAGCTTCCTTTCCTGCACCAGGTGGGACACGTCACAGTCGGTGAACTGACATCCACACGCTGTCACTGTAGGGATTTAATTTCCTCTGTGGTAACGGGGAGGCTTTGGAGGGTTGAGAGGAGCCGAATCGGGCTTCCTGTGGTAGTTAGCATTTACTAGAAAGAAGATGTACACACAGCACGTGGCCTGAAGGTGTGTCTGTTGTTTCTGCTTTCGTGATGCCACCAGAGCATGAAGAGTGGTGGGGGCAGGAAAAGTGAGATGGGAAACTCGGGCGTTCACAAGGCCCGGTCACTGGTATCATCTCGGGAGCCTCACCGTCCCCAGTGCCCAGCAGGCGGGCGTCGCCATCTCTTTCCCGATGAGATGGGCTCAGAGAGGCCAGGCCCGAGCTCAGCAGGCGTGGACTAGTGGGTGAGCCCTGGTGTAGGAACAGCGTTTGGGGTCTGCCCGTCAGAGCGTTCTGAGGCGGGAGCTGGATTACTTCCTGGGGTCCCCCTGGGCGAGGCCCTCCTGCTGGGCATCACCGGGAACTTACTAGATCAGTGCGAGATTTTTTATTCACATAAGCAGTCCCATCCGAGGGGCAAAGCTGTTCCATTTCTCACTTTTTAACATGTTGTGGCTTGGATTTTTTTCAGTTCTCACTTGTCCATTACTTTAGAAGCATCCGAATGCTGGTCACTGGTGAGGAGCAGGTCTCAGCCAGGCGACCGCTTCCTGCGACTGGGCAGGCTCTACCCTCTCTGAGCGTTTCCTCCTCTTGTCGTCTGAGGGTAACAGTGGCACCTGCCTCAGGGTTGTTGACGGTTCAGTGAGTTAACGTGTTTAACATGCTTGGAACACTGCCCGGCTGCCCCGTGTGGAGGAGGGCGAGCTGGGGCAGGCCCCTCCCCGCCACTGTCTAGTAATAGGGCCCCCCCTCTGTACTGGTGATCGGCCTCATTGGGTTCCCACACTAGATGTGATCCCCGATCCCTAGTGCGCAGGGGTCGGCGACTTTTCCTTGAAGGTCAAACTGGAAATGTTTCAGGCTTTCAGTGACTTGGGGGTGCCGTGGGCGCCGTGTTAGTGCCTCCCCAGGTGCCTTTTCTCTGACGAGACTTCTGGCTTTAGGGCGTTTGCTTAAAGCAAAGGAAGCCTGTGCCAGATTGGTTGTGAGGTGTGGATTTGACGAGCACCAAGTCGGGGTCAGCTGACTTGCTCTCCCTGGGCATCCCTTGCTAGTGAGTGGGTGTGCGCTGTTCTCCCCCTCAACACCACTAGGGGGCGGTAGTGGATAAGGGCGGGCCATCGGCTCTTCCTGGTTGAAACATTGAGAAGCTCCGTGGAACATCTTTGAACATCTTTAACCAGTTAAGGGTGTTTGTTATATTTTACTTGTAAAGAGAGAGTTAAGCGAACCAATTAGGACTGTGCCACCCGCTGCCCAGTCCCGGCAGCTCATCCCTCGCTGTGGGAGACCCGGCTCAGCCGGTTTTCTGGGTTAGCGTTGGAAATGCTCTCGGCCTGCGTAGGCATCAGTACATGAGGCCAGGCTGCGAAAACCCCTCACACCAGAGGTCTCTGGCGCTGCAGTAGCGTCACTAGGAGGGTTTTGATGTACTGTGTTCAGTTATTTCAGTAGGTCTCTAGATTTTAAAATATATATAGATATTTTTTAATTGATTTCAGAGAGGAAGGGAGAGGGAGAGGAAGATAGAAACATCAATGATGAGAGAGAATCATTGTTTGGATGCCTCCTGCACACCTCCCAATGGGGATCGAGCCCACAACCTGGGCATGTGCCCTGACTGGGAATTGAATTGTGACCTCCTGGTTCATAGGTCGACCCTCAACCACTGAGCCACGCCGGTTGGGCTATTTTTTTTTAATCCTCACCTGAGGATATGTTTTAATTAATTTTTAGAGAGAGCAACATCGATTGGTTGCCTCTTGTATGTGCTCTGACGGGATCGAACCTGTAACCTTGTGGTGTACGGGGATGACGCTCCAACCAACTGAGCCTTGTTCTGAGGAAATGACGCGAAGTTGACAGGTGGTGGGACCCCACGTTGGAAGGACAGGAGCCTCGGTGTGTGGCTTCTGAAGCCCATTGTGACGACAGCTGCGTGCTTCTGCGCTCGGGGGTCATTAGGTGGCTTCTGTGCGAGTCATTGAACAGGCTTTTCCTGAGCCGCCTCCTGCTCTGGGCGAGGGCTTCCGGGGGTGGGGGGGGGCGGTCAGAAGGGTGTGTGCTGGGCCTGGCCCCAGCCGCAGTGGCAGGATGCAGCCGGAGCTCGGAGAGGCCCCTCGAAGCACAGCCCTCCCTCCCTGTCTGTCATTCGTGTCCCTCGTCGCTGCGGGGCCCCGCCACCCGCCCAGTTGCCCGGGAGAGACAGCTGGCGCCATCTTTGATGCCTCTCTGTGTCCAGTTCTTCACTAAGTTCTGACGTTTTATCTCTAAGTGAACCTCAGACCTTCATTTCCTCTTTGTGGCCCCTCCCCACCTGTCCCCTCTGGTTCCTTCCAGCTCCGTCCGCGAGGCCAGGCCCAGAGAGGCCTTGCGCACCGTGACTCGGGTCCCGTCCTCCTCAGGTGCTGGGGACGTTGGCGAAGGCTCTCGAGGAGAGAGCTGGCGGGGCTCTGCCTTGCCCGGTGGGAGGGTCACCTCTTGGTGCTGAGCGGGGGGGGGGCGGGGGGTGGGGGGGGGCAGAGGGGCTGTCACTCAGAGCCCGCGAGGAGGCGTGGACCGGAGCGTCCTTCAGTCTCCGGCTCGGGCCGTCCCGTGGGGCCGTCGGTACTGTGCGCCCAGCCTTTGGCAGAGTGGGCAGTAGCCAGGGAGCTGACCGCTTGCTCAGGCTGTGTCCCTGCGGGGAGGGTCCGTGACCCCAGCGGCCTGGGTCGGGGAGGAGGTCACCGGCCTCTCTCGTGTGATGCTGCGGCAGGAGGAGCAGCCGTGAGCAGAGCGTCTGGGTGAGGGAGCGGGAGAGGCCGGGTGCGCAGTCACGGGCTTCCCGTGGGGCGCGATGGGGACAGTGAGGGCGGTTCTGTGACCATCTGGGCCGGGGAGTCCGTGCGGAGGAATTCCACCTTGTGTCCGAGTCTTGCTCAAATGGAGGAGGAGCACACTTCCTGTTACTGTATTTGCAGAAACACCGCCAATTGAGGGGTGCAGAAGGAACAGGGTCCCTGAGAAACGAGTGTGGGGTCTCCCTCCACAGCCCCTGCCCCCGCGCCCCCAGCATGTTCCGCTGTGGTGGTGTGTTGGAGGCAGCAGCAAGTGTGTGCACAACAGGTAGTTTGTGCCCTCCGCATGTCCGCCCTCAGCCGCCTCCCCCCGCCCCCGCCCGCACCTCGTGGAGGAGGAAAGCAGTTGTCCCTCTCCCCTTCGGGGTCCCTGGCCCCGAGCCCTGATAAAGACAGGTTATCCAGAGGGAAAGGGGTAGTCCCATGGGAGACACCAGGGGAGATGAGTTACTTCCAGGGGATGAGTTCCGACTTAGATATTATGTCGGTAGGGAAGCGGGGAGAGACCTCGGGGGAGGAAGCGGCTGAGGGCGATGGATGCCCTCGGGAGCCGCTGGGAGGTGTGATGGACAGTGTGACCGGCTGTCCGGGTGGTGCCTCTGGCCTCCTCCCCTGGGGAAGAGGCCACCCTCCCGGCTAAGGAAGCCCTGGAGGGTTCATGCCCTCGAGCCCCTCGGGAGGGTCCGTGTGGAGGCAGATGGAGGGGCTGGGGGGTCACAGAACGCCGCCTCCTGTACTGGCTCTGCTTCAAGCGCCCACAGCTCAGAAGAGCACGTCAGGGTGGCATATTGGGGGGTGGCGGGTCCTGAACACCTACAGCAGTGATGGCGAACCTTTTGAGCTCGGCGTGTTAGCATTTTGAAAAACCCTAACTTAACTCTGGTGCCGTGTCACATATAGAAATTTTTTGATATTTGCAACCATAGTAAAACAAAGACTTATATTTTTGATATTTATTTTATATAATTAAATGCCATTTAACAAAAATCAACCAAAAAATGAGTTCGCGTGTCACCTCTGACACGCGTGTCATAAGTTCGCCATCACTGGCCTACAGTCACATGGGGGGCTGTTCTGCCCTTCAGGTTACAGAACTGACCCGTCAGCATTTGTTGTATAACAAACGGAGTCATTAGCGTTTACTTTCCTGGGCACTAGGAGGCCACATGCAGCTGCAGGCAACTTAGTACCTTAGTGTGGCCATTGGTCGGGTCCCAGCTGGTCTGTCCCTGCCCGGGCTGGACCCCTTCTCCCGCAGCTCCCGCTGGGCTCGGGGAGCTTGGGCGCCTGGTTGTGAAGGGCTGGCCAGAGAGTTTGGTGTTCACTTCCTGTACTGATGTGAGCCCGGTGATGCGCGTGAGCAGGAATGGAATTGCTGAGCGATGCTCACTGTGCAGTGCAGCCCTGCAGGACGTAACCCTTTTTTACTTTTCTGCCCAGATCATTACAGCTACTCAGAGAATCGCGTGGAGAAGGACGGCCTGATCCTCACGAGCCGGGGGCCGGGGACCAGCTTCGAGTTCGCCCTGGCGATTGTGGAGGCGCTGAGCGGCAAGGAGGTGGCCGAGCAGGTGAAGGCCCCGCTGGTGCTGAGAGACTAGCCGCGGCCCTGGGAGGGGTTAGGGGGCTGCTGGTCCCCCTGCCTCCTTGTGTTTGTGCTGCTGTGTGGGGACGCCGAGGCGCTGCCCGGGAAGTGGGGTGCCAGGCCTCCTCAGATCCCCCCACACCTGTGTCCCCACATTTCCGAACCTCGATTGCAGAATAAACAGACGTGTAGCAAACTACCAGCTCCTTCTTTCGTCTCCCATTTCTTTTGTGAAACTGAATTCATCATCAGCTTTGTGAGCAGTGCTTAGCTGTTGCTCAGGTGTGAAAGTGAGGGGCAGTGCCCACGTGCGATGCGTGGTTTTTAATAAGATGTACTCGGCCTTCGCCCGCGCCCGGCACGGAGCCCTGGGAGTGTCCTTCTGCGCAGAGTGGTCCTGGTGTCTTGTGTTAACGAGGTCCCGCCCGAGGGTGAGGCTGGATGCCATGGAGCCCAGGGGTGAGAGGTCGGCCCTGCCGGCAGCTCCCTGATCTTGGGAGGGATGGCCAGTGACTGAGCCAGTGGTGATGTAGTGCAGCCCCGCACCCCGCAGGGACAGGCCTCGGTCCTTCCTGGGGCTTCCACGTGGGGACCCGATGCTCCACGGCCAGCGCGGGGCCAGCTCCGCAGGGAAGACGCGCACCGCGAGGCCGCGCCCTGCGTACCTCCTGCCGCTGTGACTGACACCCTTCACTCCCTTCTGTGATCTCGGTCACCAGTGGGACCTGGGTTTCTGGAGGCCTGTGCGCTGTCCTGGCAGGCTCTCACCCAGCCAGGGCTTGGGGACCCGTGACCTGTGGCTGGTTGGTCAGCGCACAGGGAGCAGCCTGGCGTGCGGCCAGTGTCCAGGGGAGGGCGGGCCTGGGACCTCACCTAGGGAACCTGAGGATTGTTGTTGGTGTGGGACTGCCTACACACACACACACACACACACACACACACACACACACACACAATGCACACCCTCATGCACGCGCACGGAACCCCGCTCAGCACGTGTGTGCAGCCAGGACAAAAGGCACAGATGAGATGGAAGAGGCTGCGATGACCCCCGGTGAACCGCATCTCCGTGGCGGCTGCGCCGTGAGGTCGGCTGTAATGGTGGAGCTGGGGACCCAGGCCCTTTCCCATGCAGAGGGGCCCTTGGCTGGTGGAAGCTTTGAGTCCGTGCAGCCTCTGTTTTTCCTTCTCAGGTGACGACTCCCAGCTGTTCACCCCGGGAACCACCCCGCTCCCACAGACGAGGGTAAAACACACAAGGGGTGGGCGGTGCCCAGACCCGCCAGTCAATCAGCCTTCTCCGCCCCGACCCGGCCGGGTGAGGCCGCTCAGCAGCACCGCCATCCTGGGCTCAGCCTTCGCTGCCGGTGCTCTGGGTGCTGGGCCAAGGGCACGGGCAGAGACACGGGCCACGGACGGCCCCCTGGTCACGTGAGAACGACTCCGACACAGGCGTGGAGAGCTGACACGTGACTGGTGCTGGCGGGAGCCAGCAGCGCCTGCTTCCTGTGTGCTCCGGTACCTGTGTGTGACGGGCACAGTGGCTGACGCAGGAGGGAGGGGGGGCCAGGCCTCCGAAAGCAGCGGCTCAGATCCCTGGACAGAGCGGCACCCGCTCTGCAGCCCAGCACCCTCCAGCCCGTGCCTCCTGTTCCTCTCTCCCCTCTGACCGCACAGCGTCGGCAAACCTGCTGCAGAGACTAAAATGCCCGCCACCTGGGCCCCGCGCCACCCTCCTGAAGCCCCGGAGCAGCCACGGGCGTGCGGGGCGGTGAGCCGGGCTGCGTCTTCACCGAGCGGGCGGTGTGGCCCTTGGGCAGTGGTCGTGACCCCTGGACCAGAGGCAAGGCAGGTGAGAGCCCTTAAATAAATGGGACACGTGCAGTCGCACGTCCTGATCAGCGCCGAAGGCCCGAAGGCCCAGGACTGCGCGGCGGCGGGCGGGTGGCCGGTCTCGGGTTCATTCCCTCCGCAGCTCTGCTCGGTGCCCAGTGTGCCAGCCTCCCGCCTGGGGCTGTAAGCCCCGAGAGACACCCCGTCTGTCCTCCTAGAGCTTACGTTGTGGGGGAGGGAGAGAGCAAACCTGAGAACATCGGCACCCCGTGAAGACACGTGCGGTGAGGAGACGGGGTGGGGAGGGAGCCTCTGCGGGGGGACCACAGGAGTCTGGAGAGCTGGTGTGGAGCAGGCAGCCTCGAGGACGCTTCAGCGCCTTCCAGGCAGCGAGATGCAGTGCAAAGGCCCTGGGGCAGGAGTGCTGGGCTGTGAAGGAGCAGCCGGGGGCCAGGTGGAGTTGAAGTTGGAGGACAGCGGAGCCCAGGGGGCCCTGACCCTGCTGGGTTCCCGGCTCCCTCTGTCGAGGAGGCCCAGGTGGGTGACTGCAGGCACCTGAGGATGGCAGGGGTCACATAGTGGGAGATGGATAATCCCCGAGTTTCCAGCTTGAACACAAGGTCAGAGGGAGATTCCATGTCCTGGGCTGTGGGGGTGGGGCAGCAGGAGAGGTGGACTTGGAGTTCAGGTGATGCGTTTGAGGCATCTGTCAAGTACACCTGTACCAAGGGAAGGAAAACGCCCTGGCTGGTTTGGTGCAGTGCATAGAGCGTAGGCCCATGGACTGAAGGGTCCCGGGTTCAATTCCGGGCATGTACCTCGGTGGCAGGCTCGATCCCCGGCCCTGACCGGGGCCCATGTGGGAAGCCACCAATCGATGTGTCTCTCTCACATAGATGTTTCTCTCTCTGTCTCTCCTCCCTTCCACTCTCCAAAAATCAATGGCAAAATACCCTCAGGTGAGGATCAACAACAACAAAGAAAAACGAGACGGGTTGCTGTGAAGCTCAGACATTGCTGACCTCCGAGCCGCGGGTGGTTCAGGGGCGAGCGTTTGTAAGCTCCCCATCGCAGGCTGGGGGCCTGCAGCCCTCCTCTGGCTGAGCTCCCCGCGATTCCAGAGAGAAGGGCAGGAAGGGGAACTGGGAGATGTCTCTGAATTGAGGTGCCTTCGGGGCAGCCAGAATAGGGTGGGGAAGACAGAAGAGCCCTCCTCCGGGCAGTGTTTGGGGTGGGCTCCAGGCCCCTCCTGGGCCCTCTGACCTGGTCCAGAGTCACGGCTTCAGGCGTGTGGCTACCATTCCAGAGCCTCTTCCTCCCACCTGCCTGTCTCAGTGCCACACACACCTGGCCCTCCTTCTAGGAGTACGGGCTGCGGGTGAGGGTGTGCAAACAAGGGAAGCGGGAGTGAAGGGGGAGGGGCTCTGACTTTGGGAAGTGACGCCTTGGAGCTGGTCTGGGCCCTCCTAGGCCTGATGGCCGGGGTCCAGGGACTTGGGGCATCATGTGTGTCCCTTGAGCAGAGCTCTGTGCTCAGCGGTTTGCCCAGGGCCGACTGCAGAGTTAGGGGGAGATGCGTCTAGAAGCCCAGCGCGCAGCCCCCTTGGCGGGGAGGAGAAATCCCTCTTGCCCCCACCAGCTCTGGGTGGGCCAGGGCTCTCCCGCCTGTGGGGGCAGGAGGGGCCGGGCCAGGCGCCCATCCCCGAGGCCCTGGCCAGGGTGCTGTTCTTGGGAAGTGGACGGTGGAGCCGCCTTCTGCGGGAGCCGTCGTGGCTGTGACTGCGTGTTCTGTGGAAGCGGAGTGAATGCCGGTGTAAGGCGCTGGTTTCCCGGGTGGAAGACAGGAGACGGGGGAGGGGCGGGCTTACTGAGCGCCTGTGTGTACGGATGCCCAGCGAGGCAGCCAGTGTGAAGCTCACTTTCCACCGACGGGATCACACGCTGGTCCCGCTGTCCCTGCTTCCTCACTTATTCTATCTTAGCGTTTCTCTGCCAGCGTGTCGTATGCAGACTCACCTGCTCGCCACCTCATTCCACCTCCCAACACCCTCACACAGGGCCAGGGTCACCCACGTCAAAAGAAAAGCCCTCGTCCCCAGCCGGCAAGAACCTGTGCTGTCAGGCTGTCCCAGGGGGCTAAGGCCACAGTGGGGGGATGTACGTCCATGAACTGACACCTCAGTGAAAAGCATCGTTTTCATGTAGCAGCTGTACCATCTTCCAGCCTGGTTATGGCTTCTACACTCTAGGGCAGCGATTTCCTTCCCTTTTTTTTTTTTTTTTTTTTTTTTTTAGAAAAGCAAGAATTTATTGACCACAGCAAAAACATAGGACAGTGAAACAAGGACCAGTGCTCTCCTGGTTGCAAGTCTCCTGGGGTCCCTTAGAGGCTGGGGGTACGTGTCTGTGGGGGCGGGGGCGGCGGAGGGGGAACGGAATGGCTCCGTGATTTTCTACCGGCTGCGCCGCAAGCACTTGTAAACCAGGTGGCACCTGACTGTTTAGTCAGGGCACGGACCTCTTTTCCCTTTGACTGTCCAATAAAACCGTGGCAACAGCCAGCACAGCAGTAGCTGTCTGGTGTGAATGAATCAACATGACCCTTATTTTTGGGGTAAAGTTGGTGACAATGTAATGTTTCTGGGTAAAAATATAATGTTCCGCAGGAGCCATAGCGGGTCAGGGTCACTCACTCCCCTGCCTTGTTTTAGCCACACATGTGGGATCAGAGGCCGTGAGGGACAGGAAGGGCCACGGGAACCCCCGTTTGCATCCGGGCGGGACACACCCCACTTGCTCCCGGCCTGGCTCCTTCCGGGATGGCCCTCTCCCCGGGCACCAGGGCCTGGCTCTCCTGGGACCGCGCCAATCACACCCACCTAACACCCGGCGTAACCCCTCTCGTGGGTTCCCTGCACAGACCGTCCACAGTGCCTCCACGGCGACCATTGGGGTCATTCCCGGTGTTTGAAATGTTTCTCCAGGGTGGATACTGGGTGAGTCACCCTCATGTTTCACTGTAGTAGTGACAGGGTTTTGTTGTGTTTTTTAAAATATTTTTTTTATTGATTTTTAGAGAGAGAGGAAGAGAGAGGGAGAGAGAGACATCAGTGAGAGAAGAACATCATTGATCAGCTGCCTCCTGCACAGCCCCCGTGAGGGGTTGAACCTGAACCTGCACGTGCCCTTGACCAGGATCGAACCCGGAACCCTTCGGTCTGCAGGCCAACGCTGTATCCGGGAGCCAAGCCAGTCGGGGCATTTCAGGGCTCTTAACCATGTTTGTTTCACGGACCCTTTGCCACAGGAGGGAAGCCTCTGGACGCCTTAGAGTAGCATTTTAAGAGAGAAAATACAATGCAGAGGATTACAGGGAAACCAATGGTATTGGAAGGTGGTTTTCAAAATATTAGAAAAACCCAAGTTTATGGTAAAGCAATCCGTTGTCCCCCTGCCAGTAAGTGGTCATATGCAGCCACTGGACTAATGACCACCGTCATTTTGAACGGCGATGAGCGTAAGTGATGTTCCGCGGCTTCGGCAGCAAGTTGAATGTGACGCCGAAAACCTGTGTCCCCGGATAAAGTCACAGGGGCCGCTGCTGCTCCGGTTCCGTTCCTTCCTGATGGGAGACACAGCCGAGTCTCAGTCGGAGGCCAGTGAAGAGAAGACGGGGGTGTTTCCCCTTCACGTTCACAGACCCCTGAGCAGCGCCAGGCGCCCCGTGAGGAGCCCTGCACCGGGAAGTGCCAGCCCACTTCCCGAGTGGGTGAGGGCTCCTCACCCAGGAGCCTCGAGGGAGAATGGCTGTCGTCCCCCTCCCGGCGCACTAGCCGCCGTCCCGAGTTTTAATGACGGCCCGTGCGGTGGGCGTGGGCTGCGCCTGCATTTTCCTGTTCCTGACGGAACGTCTCGTCCTGTGGCTTCTTGTTCTGTGTAATAACGGCCTGTTACTCATTTATCGGTTGTTGTGATTTTTGTCTTTGATTCGAAGGAATTCTTCATATGTTCTGGATATTAATCACTACCATTTTTAAAGAGATGTTTTTATTGATTTCAGAGAAAGGAAGGGAGAGGGAGGTAGAAATGTCAGAGAGGAGAGAGCATCTGCTCCCGTTGGCGGCTTTTTCCTCTGATGACGGCTGCCACCTCCGCTCCTCTGCGTGCCCCGTGGATTTTGATCGGGTCCCTATGCTGAGGGGTGGCGCCCTGTATGCACTGGTTTTTCCTCTTCCTCTGAAAAGTGATGGCTTTTGCTCTGGAAGGCGGTTCCGTTCCCAGCAGGTTGCTGTGGCGGCTCGGTTCTAGGACTTGTGAGGGCAGGGTTATGTCAGTGTTGCCCTCAATCTGGGATGTGGTCCTCGCTTCTAACACCTGGCCCTTCTCTCCCTGGCCGGTTGCTCAGTGGTTAGAGAATCGGCCCACGCATCGAAAGGTTGCGGGTTGGATTCCCGGTCAAGGTCAGGTAATGGGGTCGCAGGTTAGATCCCTGGACCAGGTCGAGGCGCGTGCAGGAGGCGACCAGTGGATGTGTCTCTCACATCCGTATTTCTCTCTCTCTCTCCATCCCTCCTCCCTTACACTTTCTCTGAAAAGCAATGGAAACAATATCCTCAGGTGAGGATTAACAAAATAAAACAGTAACACGTGGCCCTTCTGGGGTGTTCGCAGAAAGCGCAAGCGGCTCTCACTTGGCCGGACTTGAGTTCCAGTCTCTGTCGGCAGCTGAGCAGCTGCTGCCCTCTCTGCTCGGTGCTTCGGCCTCCGGGCCCCACTTTCCACGCAGCCCCTTGGAGGTGCGCCCTGTCCATGCGCCGCGGAGGGTGCAGCCAAGTACGTCAGGGGATTTGTACACAGACTGTGGGCGGCGCCCCCAGGGCCTGCCCTCCCGCAAGGCCATCTCCTCTCGCAGCCCTGAAATGCAGCGTCTGCTTCTCAGCCCATTGGACGGCCGCCTCCTGCCTGCATTGTCTCCCCTGTGCTGGGAGGATGGAGGAGGTGCTGGGGGAGACTGGCCACACCTGGATGCCACCCCTTGTTTCGGTGGCCACAGGGCGCTGCTTGCCCTCCGGGACCTTCACAGAGCTCCCCTTTGTCCTCTGCTTATCACGGCCGCGGGCGGGATGGGCAGTGTGACCCACGTTTCTGTGCTGTTACCTGACGCGGAACTTACCCTGAATCTTCAGTGGACACGTAATAGCAATCCAGAGCACCCAGAACCGATCAGCCCTAGCCTGTCGCCCAAAGGACAGAAACCTGGGTCTGCTCTCCCTCCCCCTCAGCTCCTGGCAGCGCCCTGGGCTCTCAGGTCTCTGTGATTAGTCACTTGTTAATTTGCATAAACAATTGTGGAGCCACCACTGTCAGGTGCTCAGGGCTGCTCGGCTGCCACAGATTCCAGATGACTTACCTTTTCTTCACATTTACTGGCCTTTCTTTTCCATTAATAGCCTGTGTTTGTCTCATGGATGAAATTTTCTGTCTACTCTTGAAGGATTACTTCTTTTTATTGATTGATTTTTTTTTTGAGAGAGAGAGAGAGAGGGGGAGAGAGAGAAAGAGACACCGACTTGTTGTTCCACTTACTTAGACATTCATTGCTTGGTTCTTTTCTGTGCTCCGGACGGGGGTCGAACCTGCAACCTTGGCCTATCAGGACGACGCTCTAACCATCCGAGCCCCCGGCCAGGGCTCTGAGTTCCACTGGAACATCTGTCTGTGAAATGTTCCCATGGGTGCTGGTCTCTGTTCATTGAGTGTTTTGTTTTTCTTGGTCTTCGTTTTGTGATTTAAAATTTTATGCCCATATCTGTGTTTCAAAATCCCCAAGAGGCTGGCAGAGGAAGGACCTTGCTTCTGGCCAGAGTACCCTCGAGTCTCCGGCCCCAGCGCTCTGGGCTGCAGGCACAGCCCAGGGAGGCAGCCTTGCACAGGCGGGGCTGCGGTGGGCGGGGGAGTGACGCTCTGAATGGGTCTCCAAGTAGTCACGTGACCGCCGCCCCAGGCTGTGTCCTGTTCCATTTCCATAAACAGAGCTTTCTCAGAACTCTGGAACGGCGTTCGCAGAAGGCATCTCCATGACTATGCCAGCCTCTTCCTTTGATGCAATTTCTCCATCAAACCACCTGCCTGCTCTGTGCCTTCAAGAATTCCCGCAAGGGTCCCAGGCACCCAGACATTTCTTTGCTTTCTGTCCTTAGAGATTGATTCTGAGTTTCAGGACATACGTGGCCGGGCGGCAGGGGCCCGCATGCGGGAGGCTACGGCCGATGGGCTCCCCGTAGCTCCGCCGGTCACGTCGCTGGCTGTGACCTGCACACCAGCGGGCCGGCCCCACTCTGAATCAGGCGGCTCGTCTGGCCTGAAGCTCAGAGTTAAGGAAAACGACCTGCCCGCATCAGCGTTGGTAACCGGACAAGGAGTGGAAAACGCAGCCTCCGAATTGGCAAGTTTGAGAGGAAACCGGTCCGTGAATGTCCCACCTGAAGCCAGTTGTGGAGCAGCGAGGTGATAACCGATTCCAGGAAAATCGAAGCGGCTTCTTCTCAGTCGGCCACACACTGATTCTCTGCAGCTCAGGGTGTGGCACTCAGGTGTGATTCACAACGAACAGTGTGAGGTTTAGAGGTGGAGTGGGCATTTCGGTGGGGATGAAACCAGGGCCGACTGGCATGCATGCCGGGTGGAGGGTCACGCCGCTTCTGGCCCATATAGCTGCCCAGAGAGCTCTGGGCAGAACTGTCCTTGGGGATTGGCGAAGGCGCCGGATCCTTGGGGTCCGACCGACGAACACTGTGCGCGAGGGGCAGCTGTCTGCAGACGGGCACTGCGGGTTTCAGAATGAGCATTTCAGCGTAAGCCGATTCTCTACGAGATCCTTATCGGCGAGCAGATGACCGGGCGTCTACTTCTTCATGTTCAAGTGTGTGGATTCTTGCCAAGGGAACATCTGCACTGATTGAGCGTCCTCTCCGCTTGGGGGGGTGGAGGTGGGATGTGTAGCTTCAAAAACAAAAACAACAGCAGGTTCCTGGCTGCTGTCCTCGAACCCTCCCACACAGCTGATTACCGACAGGCTCAGCCGCTGCGGCTCCCACCGGCAGCTTGGTCGGCTCCTCCGCAGCCTCCAGCCCCACGGTCCTCGTGGGCTCGGTCCCAGCGACAGTGGCTTTCTCCCCGGGCTCCGGGCAGGCGTCCTTTCCTTTAAATGATGACATCACCCAGCTGTCTTTCTCTCCGCGGCAAACGGCACGTTCTTGATAACTTGGTGGCTGTTAATCATTACACACCCTGAGCAGGTTAAATCCGCCCAAGTCCCATCACACCAGATCCCAGATCCGCCCAAGTCCCATCACACAGACCCCTCGCCGGCCCAGGCGACACTGCGCGCAGCTCCGCAGCGGTGCCAGGCAGGACGCCCGCACCGAGTGCGGAGCAGGTGGAAAGTTGAGATGAAATTTCCAAAAAGGTAGGGCTGGGAACGTTGATGGGGAGATAAAACTGTGGCAATGCTTTGAAAAGAAAGAACAGCCTGTGAAATGGGCTCTTGTTGTCTTTGGAATGTGGTCATTATCATGTGGATGGCCGTGACGCACGGGCTGGGCGCCGCCCCCAGCGGGCGTGCGGGCAGGGAACCGGGCCCCAGCCGTATCTCCAGTCGTGGGGCATGTGAGCTGGCCACCCGGGCTCCGCGGCCCCAGACGTGTAATTAGAGGCTCCGGGCCCGGGTGATGCGCAGACAAGTCTTATCACGCGTCTGGGCTGCCGTGGGTGCACGTTCCCTCCGTGGCGCGGGTGGGCCGGGCTCCGCGCCCGCCTGATCCCGGGGAACCGTCCAATGCTTCTGCCCAGCATCGATTTCTCAGCAGAAAACCACGCGGAGGACACTGGCAAGAACACCAGGCCGGCCGGGTCTTGGCACATACAACACGCCGCTTCCTGCGCGCAGCGCCCCAGGCGCGCCGCCCGGAGGAGACACACTCACCGGCCTTTCACAAGAAGGGCGTGTCCTCGGGGCCGGGGGCGGCCGGGCCGGCCCCGCCCACTGCAGAGTGAAACACGCAGCAGGCGTGTGGTTAGTTAAGATGTTTGACGTGGATCCAAGTTATTTCCAAGGAATGAAGGTGGTGCCCGTGTCCAGAAGGACTCGGCCACGGAGACCGACACGCACTCCCCGGGCCTGGCCCCTCCCACTGGCCTTTTTACTTCGGGCGGGGGAAGAAGCTGCAGATGACTGTGGCCTCATGGATCCTTTTAGTGAACTTGCCACGGGCTGACTTGCTTGGCTTCCTGGCAGTTTTCTGGACGCCTCGCTGGCCCAGTGGCCAGAGATCAGCTCTTCCTCGGCAGGTCAGCCCCGGCCCCAGCCCTCCCCCTCCCCCTCAGCCCAGGCCCCATCTGCTCCCTGCCAGGTGGTGTGGGCCTAGAGGAACAATGGCAGGGTGGCCGGGTTTCCTCGGGCAGAGGAGCTCCCCGCCAAGCATGCTGGCCTCGGCGTTCGGACACCACGGAGCTGAGCTAGTTGACGCTCGCTCTGTGAGTGCTTCTCAGCGGCTCAGGCAGAAGCATCTTCAAGTTCGAACTTTGAAATGCAAGGACAGCACGAAAATCCACACCCTCCCACTGCATTAGACACGGCCCCCTTGCTCACGTAGTGACGGGGAGCACAGGCGAGGCTGCGAAGTGGGGACCCATTTGAACCTTCTGCCCTGTTCTCCTCTCCTAACTTTCCCCAAATAAATCCCCAGAACTTCTCTCAAAAGTTGTGATTCTTGCCAAAACCGGTTTGGCTCAGTGGATAGAGCGTCGGCCTGCGGACCGAAAGGTCCCAGGTTCGATTCCGGTCAAGGGCATGTATCAGGAGGCAGCTGATCGATGTTTCTCTCTCATCGATGTTTCTAACTCTCTATCTCTCTCCCTTCCTCTCTGTAAAAAATCAATAAAATATATTAAAAAAAAAAAAGTTGTGATTCTTGCGTGGAGAGGAAAAGGGCCGGAACGGAACGTTGGTCAGCGACCCAGCCTCTGAGCGACTTTGAACCAGACGTATGCTCCCAAGGACAAGAACACCTCAAGCTCCAGTCCTGCGTAAGAAATCCAGGTGGCTTCCTGGTTAGTTTACACAGACGTGAGGGAGGCCTCAGGTGTGTGCCCTGCAGTGGTTCTCAACCTTCCTAATGCCGCCACCCTTTAATACAGTTCCTCAAGTTGTGGTGACCCCCAATTTCATTGTTACAAATTGAACATAATTAAAGCATAGTGATTCATCACCAAAACAATACGTGATTATATATGTGTTTTCCGATGGTCTTAGGCGACCCCTGTGAAAGGGTCGCGACCCACAGGTTGAGAACCGCTGCAAGGAAACGCTACTCACGAACCCTCAGGGCAAAGTGCTCGCTGCACGAGAGCTGGTGCATGTGGACCCTGCAAAGCCTTGGCCATCAACGTGAGCCTCAGTTTACCTTCTCGGCACCATCACCGTAAGGTACAGTTACATGGCAACGTATTTTTAAAGCTTTATTAGCTTTGCACAAAATGCCTAGCAGAATTAATGCCAATATTAATTTGTAAATTAAAGAGTAGAGCCCAAGTCCATTTTGATAGCCACTATTTCTATATACACTGAGTGGCCAGATGATTATGACCACCCCATCAGTACTTCGTTGGGCCACCCTTTGCCTTCAATACTGCGGCGATTCTTCTTGGCACTGACTCCACGAGATGTTGAAAGGTGATGCGAGGAATCTGACACCATGTCTGATGAATAGCACTGTCCAGTTCTGTGAGATTTGATGGTTGTGCAACCAGCTGCCTGATGGCTCTTTTAACTTCATCCTACAAATGCTCAATTGGATTGAGATCTGGTGATTGTGGGGGCCACCTAAGCAAGGTAAAGTCTCCCTCATGTTCTTGAAACCACTCCTGCACAATACGAGCACCGTGGCATGGCGCATTGTCTTGTTGGAAGAAGCCATCTCCATTGGGATACGCCATCAACACGATAGGATGAACTTGATCAGCAACGATACTTAGGTATGTTGTGCTATTCAGACGTTGTTCCACACGAATTAAAGAGCCCAAATCATGCCAGGAAAACATGCCCCAAACCATAACACTGCCCCCACCAGCTTGAAGGGTTGTACTCATGCATGTGGGCTGCATGCTTTCATGCTGTTTCCGCCAAATTCTCACTCTGCCATCTGCATGATGCAACTGGAAACATGTCCAATTCTTGTGTTCCTGTGCGAATTGGAGATGTTTTATCTTGGTAATTGCAGACAGCAAAGGTGTTCGAACAGGCCTTCGGCTTCCATATCCCATACGATGCAGTGTATGGCTAATTTGCCTACAAACGTCAGGTGGTCATAATAATCTGGCCACTCAGTGTATATATTGTGACAATGTCCATTTCCTGGTTTTGATAATGGACTGTAATTATATAAGATGTTAACAGTGGGAGAATCTGGGGAATGGGTACAGGGGGGACCTCTGTGTATTATTTTCGAAACTTCTTGGGAATCTGTAATTATTTGAAATTAAAAAGTAAAAAACCAAACACCTGTATATGCAATAACCATGTTAGGAGCTTATGTTTAAGAAAAAGGCTCCATAGACCCTAAAACTGTAAGTTATATGGTGAAACTAAAAACTAAGACTAGCTTAGTACATGTTTTGATTCTTGAATCAGGAGGCAGATGGAGTAGCTCTCCTCTCTCCAGCTATGAACCCTCTGGAAGGGTCTGTGGGCCTCTCTTCTGGACCAGGACCCCTCAGAGTGAAGAAACAGCCTCTGGAACACAGTGAAGACGTAAACCAGATGAAACTCCCATGAGCACCTGGGCCTTGGTAAAAAGACGACAGGCAGTGCGTTCCGATTACTGCAGCCTGGGAAGACTTTCATATTTCTCCAAATTTGGGGTTGACTTACAAGAGTCCCCGTGACCACAGCTCTGCGTCCTGCCACACCGTCCTTACTGAGCCACCCCTTGGGTTCGCAGGGCATTGTGTCCGCCGCTGGGTCCCACGCTGACGGGAAAGAGGATCCGAGAAGCGAAGGGAAGCCTCCAGGCAGGACATGCGGTTAGGACTGGAGCCTGTTTCCTCACTTGGCTTCATTACTAGATAATGTCTGCCTCCTTAGGGGACTCAATGGCACACCAAGTGGCAGATGACAGACAGCTGTCTCCCCACTGGGACTGTCCGCACAGCAGCTATGTGCGTCGGATGAGGCTGTTATGTTGTGAGCATGCTTTAGAGTGCACTCTGCTGTGTGCGGGTAGAGCAGGCAGATGGGGCTATGGACAGGGTTCTGGTCACATGGCGTCAGCATGGGCAGGAAGTAACAGGAAAGTGTAGGTTATCTTAAAATCAGGAAATCCCAAAGGTAAGAGGGAAGCAGGTATGGAACTGATCTTATTAGATGAATTAAAAATTAGACTATACACTGCCTGACCAGCATGGCTCAGTGGTTGGGCATCGACCTATGAACCAGGAGGTCACGGTTCGATTCCTGGTCAAGGCATATGCCCAGGTTGTAGGCTCGATCCCCAGTGTGAGATGGGCAGGAGTCAGCCAATTAATGATTCTCTTTCATCATTGATGTTTCTGTCTCTCTCCCTCTCTGAAATATATATTTTTAAAAATCCTATATAATGAAAGGCTAATATGCTAATAGATCAAATAGCAGAATGACAGGTCGCTATGACATGCACTGACCACCAGGGGACAGACACTCAATGCAGGAGCTGCCCCCTGGTGGTCAGTGCACCCCCACAGGGGGAGCGCTGCTCGGCCAGAAGCCGGGCTCATGGCTGGCGGTGGAGCGTCTCCTGCCTCTGCTGCAGCTAAGGATGTCTGACTGACGGCTCAGGGAGCGGGCCTAAGCCAGCAGCAGTCAGACATCCCGAGGGCTCCTGGACTGCGAGAGGGTGCAGGCTGGGCTGAGGGAACACCCCACCACTGCCCCGAGTGCCCAAATTTTGTGCACTGGGCCTCTAGTTACACTGTAACTATCTTTATAGTGTCCACCACAATACAAAGAAAAGGCAGCGGAGAAGGGCAAAAAGCAAAAAAATATGAGACACAGATCAAGTAGTGGAAAGAGGCACTTGGACACCCAGGGGCCAGTCTGCACCGCTGGAGGGCGGGGTTCGCATAGCCTGGCTCTGGCCTGTGTCCCACCGGAGGTCGTGAGCGTGTAGGCAAGAGACATCATTAACAGTATCATAAATAAGTATTGTAACTTTATTAAAATGAAAAGACAATATTCAAAATAATGCAACAAAAATGAATAAAATCCTTTGTCCAATACTGTACACATAATGCAGAAATCAGTGCATTTTCCTAAAGCATGTTTTAACCTTCATTTAGTTCAGACTAACACATCCGCTTTAAATAGCTCAGTCAGTCACTCAGCAGTGGAACTGTAAACAGCTGGTTTAACTGGCGAGAACGTTGCGGTAACGCACCTCTGTGGGGAGCACCTCCCGCTTGGGCCGAACTGTGCGGGGGACACGCGGAGGCGGTGGCAGGCAGTGCGCAGGCAGTGCGCCTGGAAGCAGACGGTGCTGATGTGACTCTCGTATTAAGACACAGTTGCTCTTGGTCAGAAGGCTTTACTTCAAAAGCCAACAATCCCCAGGAAATACTGAGTAGGAACCAGCAACACAAGGCCAGCTTGTGTTGTATTTGTTTATTAATAGTCTAAAAACCCCCCAAACACACATCCCCACAGTCACTCTCAGTCACGTGGCTGCTTCATTCCTGCTGAAAAGCGAACCACTGGCGTGGAGCCCACCACGTCCGTCCACTGCTCTGTGAGGCAGCGCGACGGTGGCCGTCGGGTGGGTGGAACAAAGCAGGAACTGTCAGGAAAATGTCCTACTATCTTCTTCTTTGTCAAGAAGCGAGACACGTGCAGGTGGAAGTGTGGTTGCCAGGTAAACTGCTAGTCCTCCCCGCAGGGACAGGAAGTGAAATCCGCACGTCTTGGGTCTCGGGCGGTTTTAAACTAGGTAGGCACATCCCGCTCCCCATGGAAAAGGCTGCAAAAATACATCCAACAAAACATAACAGACCAAAGAGCCAGAAATCTTCAAACTTAGCAAAAATAATTCTCTAGGATTCTAAATACTGTGCTTTCTTCTGTTTGCTCAGTGTTCAGTCGATCGGGAGCCCTAGTCCAGCGTGAGTTTTATTCTGAATACGCATCACTGAGAGAGCAGCTGACTGGTTAACCGGCTACGGCTAGACTGCGAGTTTACATATGGATACGATGGGCGTCTGTGAGTGTCCCCGTCCTGCCCTCCCGTCACATCTTGTGGGTTTGGACACTGGGGTCCTCAGCATGAAGCACCTCTCCACCTCTCTGGACAGAGTTCAAGTTTGTTCTGCACCTGAAACATCTTCCCCTGAACCTCAGTCAAACTGGGAAACTGCTTGGGAACCACCTGCTCCCGTGGACCCTCTGCCGAACCGAGACCCGAGTCTACGGAGAAACCACGTAGGACAAGTGCTTACGCTTCCCGTGGCCGCCCACGTCCCCCGGGTCCCGGGGTCCAGCTTCCCGGGGGCCGCGACGACACCGCCGTCGGTGGGGAAGGGCTGCACCTGGGTGCCGGCGCTCGCCTCCTCGGCCTCCGTGAAGAACTTCTCGTATCGGTCCAGGTACGGCGGCCTCTCAGGTAGGAGGTAATAGTGCGTCGAGCTGACCTTCTTCCCGTTCTCGATGATGGGCAGGATGCAGGGGGCCCGGCTGGCAGAGCCTTCGCTGAGCTGTCTTTGCAGAGCTTTGCTGCTGACGTACTTGGGGTCCGGGGCGAAGCTCTGCGTGGGGGGCATGACCCCGTTGAGGTAAGTCGGAAGGCTTTTGGGACTCGGGGTGCGGGAGTTGCTCCGGGACAAGGGTTCCCTGGGCGGCACTTTGGGGGGCCTGTCTTCGTCGCTGTAGGTGCTGGACGTGACCTCTGCCGACCACCGTCTGTAATCGGGCTTCACGGGCCGCGGAGGGATGGGGACCCTGGGGGGGACCTCGGGCTTGTCTGTGTCGGGGTGGGGGGAGGCTCGGTGGGTGTGGCCGTGCACCTTGATGGCCGGCTTGTGGAAGGAACCGGCGGGGCCCGAGTCGACCGCCTGAGCTCCCGGTGGCTCTGCGGCGGCGGCGGGTCTGAGGGCGGCCCCCCTGCGCTCCGCTTGGGGGCCTGGCTGAGGTCCACCACCGAGACCGTCGGGGTTTCGAAGTAGGCGTAGTTGATCTGCCCGCACCCGCGGAAAGCTCCGCCGGCCCGGCACGCCGGACTGGAACTCGGAGGGCGCGCCGCCCCCCAGGAGCAAGTCCGTGTCGGAGCAGGTGAAGAACTCCACCTCGCAGTCCGTGTCGTCCAGGGAGAGGCCCTCAGAGATGGGCAGCGGGGGGAGCGGCCGGGAGCCCGCCACACAGGGCACGGGGGACGGGCCGTTCTTCATGGGCGTGAGTGGAGGCGTGGGGGCGCACCCCCCGTTGACCGACAGTTTCTTAAAACCACACACCACCGGGTCCTCGTCGGGCCCCGAGCTTTCACTTGGGGGAAGGACGAGAGGGGGCAGGCTGGGCTTCCGAGAGGGGCCGTGCTCTGCCAGGCGGTGGCCGTTCGTCGGGGCAGGTGCCGACGTGCGCCCTGCAAAGGACGGGGGTTAGCGAAGGACGAGCAGTGCCCCTGCGCGTGGGGACGGCCCACTGCCTGCCCCGCCCCCCCCCCCCCCCCGGGGCTGCCGCCTGAACCCCAGGCACAGGCCACGGACACCGTGCCGCACCACAGCTGTAATTAGGGCCTGAAGATTGTTAATGCACATGATCTGGTTCAAAGAACAGACTATCTCTTCTATCTCCCCGACATGCGCAGGGCACACGCCCACACACGCAGGCGGGTTCTGTGACATGTGCAAGATTCGCAGAAGACGAGCAGCATATAATTTCCGTGAATACCACCCGCAGCGCCAGGTCACAGGCGACGCGACAGCACTCGGCACGCGGGGTGGGGCTGAGATAAGAGGGAGCCCCCTGCTGGCCCCCGGTCACGCCACCAGGGTGGCAGCTTGCAGTGTGACAGCAGCTCCTGGCAAAAATCTAAGGGACAGGATGTCCACAGGAGAAGGGCCCTGTGGTGTACTGCGCGCTTCCTGAGTTCCTGACAACACCCCCACTCCTGTGCCCTCACACAGGCCTCCGCACGGCGAGAGCCAGCAGGTCCTGTGCGAGGCTGGACGGACTACTTCCTGACCTTCCACACACAGGGCTAGTGGACCAGGGACGTGAGTGTGGGAGGAACAGGTTACCGTCAGACCTGACGCCACCAGGGGTCACACTACTCCTGGAATAGTTCAGGTTGTTGCCTCTTTTTTAAAGAGCAAAGCTAGCAGCCCTCTGCCACCTCCCCTCCTGGGCCACCTTCCTCCCCCCCAGGGGCCACCTCCCCTCCTGGGCCACCTCCCCTCCTTGGCCACCTCCCCTCCCGGGCCGCCCTCTGGGATTTGCAGGACACCTACCAAGAGATGTCAGGTGCGCCTGCGCGGTCGACTTCAGATTGTAGGCCATGGTGATCGGGTGGATGTTTAGAAAGTTACTGAAATGCAGCAAAGACATCTTGGTCAGAGACCACAGTGACCACCCCCCGCCGCCGCCCCCGTCTGTTTCCTCCGCACGCGGAGGCCACGCACCGGCCGCACTTACTTCCCCAGCTCCCGGCGGCGGCCCCAGCACGCGTTCAGGCTCCCCAGGGCCTGGCCATCGTGCAGAAACGCCTTCAGCGGGACGCGGATCTCCTGGGCAGCGACTCCCGCGGTGGACATGGTGCACCCGAGGCGTCAGTCAGCAAGCAGCGTTTGGTCCCTGGAGGGAGAGGAGGATGAGAGGATGCAGGAAACAACTCAGAACACCCATCAGCAGCCACCCGACAGCATCCGAGCGCCGAGCAGAAAGATGAAGCCACAGACTTCCACCCCGTTCTCCCGTTTACAGCCGTTCTTCCTCCCTTCCTGTGAGGGAACTTGAAAGCAATTTTTCCCTAAGTCCTGATCTGAGATGTGCGATGCTTTGAGCAGAGAGAAATGCCCGTGGTCAGGGAGCGTGGCCCTCCTGGTGGGGGCGAGGGTGCACAACAGCCCCCCGGACACTCACCCCCCCCCAACCTTCAGAAAGGCCCGTGGCCGCCGCTGACTCATGCCCACGAAGCCCACGCCTCGGTCAGACGACGGGTCCACGGGGCGCCTCGCCAGCCCACAGCCAGCACTGACTTGGTTCTGTGTCTCAGGGTTGGCCCAGGAAGGCAAACCCTCCAGGGGTGACTTGTTTGGGAATAAAGGAACATAGGAAGACACCGATGTCCACTATCCCGTGGAATCAGGTTCTGCAAGTTGGCCGGCTTCGGGCGGCCTGGACACTTCCCCTGCCCCGTGCATTCTTCACATTCTCTTCTCTGCGGGCCTTGCTGCAAGGCATGGGCACAAAGGCTGGGAAGTCGTTCTCCTTCATCTAGTAACTCCTCAGCTTTCAGGGATCCTGTCCCTTCCCTCAGGCCTTTTTTTCAAGGGAGAGAGGAAGGGAGTGGGGGAGAGAGAAACATCTACGGCTGCCTCTGGTAAGTACCCCGACTGGGTACCAAACCTGCAACCTCCATGCCCCGACCAGGAATCAAACCAGCGCCCTTTCAGGGCACAGGCTGGCACTCAGTCACCGGCCACCGGCCGGGCCCACAGCCTCTTCTGAACGTTCACTATAGCATCAGTGCTGACGCTGCGGCACCTATCTGGGCTCTGTCTTCGGAGAATCTGCGGTTTCGGGCCTAACTGGTGTGTGGAGCACTGGCCCCTTGGGAGCTGTGTGCACACCCTCTAGACTGCGCTCAGATGCTCCCCGAGAGCGTGCATGCCACTGAGAGCGGGTGTGCCGGGGCGGGGGCGGGGAGGGGGCACACAGGCTGTTTTGTTTTGTTTTAGGGACAGAGCTGTCACCTCCTAGCTGACTGTGAGCTCAGAGCACAGGCTGTGTTCCACAGCAGGAGCTCGGGGAGTGACTGCGTCCTACCATCTACTGTTGTCGTCGGTATCAGGAGAATGTACGTGGCATAGGGTTTGTTTTCTCCACAGAAAAGGAACGAGAGAGAACGTTTCGGTCCATCTGAAACACTTAAATCTCAGGCAGAGGGTTAAACAGGTTAAAAATAGTATTTCAGATGGGGAAGCATTAGTTCTCTTTAGTCAGTCTCTTTAGAGAAGAGGAAAAAACCATCATTTAGTAACTAAGTTACTGGAGGTTTGGTGTTTAGATCATTGAAATGCAGCGTGTTTTCCCCTCCTGTACCGGAATCAAGTGAAGCTACGGGACAATTAGAAAAACAACTTTTAGGAAACCCTGTCAGCCCCCTGCAGGCGCTGGCAAGACCCCAGGGAGAGCGTCTGCGATTCGGAGTGAAAACCCGCTGGGAAGGAGCCCAGGGCGCGCAGCGGACGTGTGGAGGCTGCGCCCCGATGGCAGGGCGAGGCGAGGCGGTCGAGCCCAGCCCCCACCTGTCCGCAGGCCAAGGGCTAGTAATTACCGCCTGTCGGCTCCTCACCATCCCTCACCATCGACATCTGAGCTTTCAACAGGGCGATTGTGCAACTAGGGCCTCTGCGAAATGGCCTGGATCCTGAGCTTACATTTCAATGGTCCCTGAAAGTTACTTGTATGTTCTAGAAAAAGTTATTTTTTATTCATTGTTTCCATCACCTACTTGTTAGCTTTCTTAAGAAAAAAAAATTTTTTTAGTCTAAAAAGAATTGTGTTCCCTGCGCCAGCTCACTCCCGACCACAATAGTGTCTTTGTGTATTCATAGGAGGTGACCTGCCTCTACATCTCAATGGGGAATTGTGAATGGGCCGCGTTATGAAACTGTCGGAACTTCCTACTTGCTAGCAGGGAGAGCGCGGAGGGCAATATAATTTTATGCTCTCTTCCTTCGGAAAAGACTCCAAACTGGAGAATCCAGGGGGCAGCCCGCCGGTGTTCTCGGCGTCCCTCCGACGGTAAACTGAGGGTGTGACCCTCCTGAACTGCCTGCCATGGCTCTCCAACCTCCAAGTATTCAGCACACATGCTCCCGGGTGGGGGTGGGGAGGATCCCCTGGTCACCCTCAGGTTAAAAGAAAGCACTGCTCCAGTGAGCGAAATGCTGCCGTGTCCAATGCTGCTTCCTTATAACGAAGACGAGCTCTGCCTTACACTCCGTCAGAGAGATGAGCAAAAACATCCCCACGTGGGAAGCCAGCACCTGTCGGCAGAGATGGGGCTGCTATGAAAGGCGAACATGATCGCCAGCGTTAGCCCAGGCGCGGCACCCCCGGACCTAGTCCCCGTGGGCAGAGTAACTTCCCTGACATCCCTGAGCTCAGCTGTAAGTGTCCAAATGCAGCCAACGCCAATCCCAGATGTGAAGGACTTTTTCCTGTTAAACATCACTTGATTTTTTTTTTATTCATGGGAACCCCCCCCAACCATGTTTCTTGGGGTGGTCCTCTTAGATCCTTACCCCCCAGTTTTAATCCTTCAGCTCTGCAGAGAGCGCCCTGAACCCTGACTCCAGCCCTGGCTCCAGCGTCCATTGTCTGGTGGTGATCTTTGCACGTGGGTGGTCCCCTGGCATCCCCAACTCCACAAACCAGGCTCCTGTCCCTACTTCAGACCCCGCCCACTTTCCCAAGCCAGTTCAGGGTCTCGGTCGGCGATTTCCAACTGGTGCGCCCCAAGGATTTTTACAGCATGCAATACCCGACTATGCAGTCAGGGGCCCTGACCCCTTTTCCCTTCAAAAATTGTCCAAAAAATGACAATAGCCAACACAGCAACAGCCATCTAGTATGAATGAATCAAAATTATACCCCCTTTTTTTTCTGTCAGATTGACAAAAAATGTATTTTCTGGTGCAGCAGAATTTTAGTCATCGATGTCCCATGAGATGAACAGGCTGAAAACCGCTGGTCCAGGGGGACCACCTTCCTAGAGGGGCCGTTCTTAACCTGAGCCCCAGCCCCTCTAGCTCAGCTCCCCAGCTCCATGGTCCCCCTTCCTTCTCACCGGCCGCTCCGCTCGCTCGGGCCCCAGACAGCCTCCCACCCCACACCTCAGGCCCCTCTCCCTGTGGGGTGCTGCCCCCCCCCCACACCCCCAGTCTCTGTGAGAACTCACTTCTCCTCCAGGGCCAGCTGAGCCACCTGCTGTGCTGCGCCCATCCCTTCCCACTCTCCAAATCTAGGACAGGGCCTGGCTGCCCCTGGCATCCCGGCACCACTCACTTCTAATGGAAAATATTCATCTCAGTTTAAAAAAAAATAATTATGTGAAAGACTCACATATACTAAAATCAGCAAAGAACTAAGGGAAAAAGCAAAGGAGGGTAAGGGCTGCCTTTAGGACAGAGCAGGCGACTTTCATTAAATCCACTTCCCAAACCCCAAGTGGCCAGTGTGCACACAGGGAACAGCACGAGCTGAACTGGGGTTGACTTAAGGCAGCCAGGGGAGTGTGTCCTGAAAACGGGGGTCCCCCCTCCCCCCCTGCTCGCTGGCACAGCATTTCTTCTGGATGAGAAGGCACCTCCTGTCTTTTTACTGTTAAAGAGTCAAAACAACACCATGAGCACCTCGCACGGCCTTTATTAAGGTGAACTTCACCGTAGGACGGTCTCTCTGAAACTGTTTAAAAACCAGGCTACCTTAAGACGATAACCTAGATCTGCCTACCTGGCCACCAGATCTCATTAATAAATCTCAGAAGCAGCCCACAGAGGAGGAGGGGCACATTTTTGTCACTCGACTCATCCAGTTCTGCCCAGCGCTTCCTTATTTAAAAGTGTGATGTAATTTCCTTCTTTCAATCTGGTTTTAGAACCTGATTTCTGTTTATTCAGGGCGATAAATGGTCTTTTCAGCTGCATTTAACAATTACCTACATAACTACTCCCAGACCAGGAGACGGAAGGTAAGGACATTTAGAGGCAAAATGTGTAAAAAGAAACTGATTTAGGAACACGACAAGCCCCATGATTTAAAATCTCCCCCAAATAAGCCAACACCTGCATGCTGATCTGCCTTTTGAAAATCTCCGAAGCAAAAGATTTGTGCCTGAAGCGCTAGTAGCCAAGCCGTTCGAACACTGAGCGTTCAGTGGAACTCTTTAGTAGAACTGTAATTTTTTAATTTTTTGTTAATCCTTCCCCAAGGATATTTTTCCCATTGATTTTAGAGAGAGTGGAGTGGAAGGGAGGGGAGGGGAGAGAGAGAAACACTGATGTGAGAAAGACACATCGATTGGATCGAACCTGCAACCCAGGCGCGTGCCGTGACTGGGACTGAACGGGACCCTTCCGTGCGGGGCTGACGCCGCGCTCTAACCACTGAGCGGGCCAGGCCGAGAACTGTGATTTTGATCAATATGAGGAAACTCCCCCGTTGGGTACTCCCTACACCTGCAGTGTTTATGACAGTTGTTTACTAAAAGCAAACGGCTTCAGAGGCTCTGGTTTGGGGGAGGAGGAGGGGCAGGCAGGTTAGGAAAAGCTGCTGCGTGGCACCCTGCTCCTGGGAAAAGCAGAGCAGTCTTCACAGTAAAGCCAGGCGCTCTAAAATGGTTTACATTCTGTCAACAAAATGCAATTAAAACACTCGTGCACGAATTCAAGCTGAACTGTGGGTTTCGGTAGAGATGGAGTGTGGTTGGGGGCGGGCCTGGCACACACAGGCCTGTTTGTAAAGGATAAAGACGGAGGCAACAAGGAAAATAATTTCTCTTCAGACTGTCAGAATCAAAGCTAAGTAAAAAGAAAAGAGCTCAGTGACCTAGTTTCTTGAATAATTCGGAATATTTTCTTGCTAAGTATTAGGAAATGGCAGGCTCACAGAAAACCTACTCGCTCCCCTACCCGAGTCATCCTGCAGCGCCAGCGCACAGCCACCATCCTCTGTCCTCGGTCCCTTCCTAGGGCAGCGCCGTCAGCAGCACCCAGGAGGGTGGGAAGTATTATTCCCTTTACAACACGCGTGAGCGATTCCCTTTACAACACACGTGAGCGATTTCTAAGGAGGAGACGTGAAGTCTATCCGAATTTTAGTGACAACAAGCACGTGTCTGATGATGGGAAGCAAATCTTGAAAACTTCAAATTTACTTAATGAGCATTTAAAAAGCCACCCCTGGGTAAGTCTAGATTGTTACTGTGAACACTGAACCAGTAAGAATCCCACGCCGGACCCTAGCCTGACAGGCAGTGTTCCAAGCGCTTCGTTTATCCAGTGGTCGGCAAACTCATTAGTCAACAGAGCCAAATATCAGCAGTACAACGATTGAAATTTCTTTGAGAGCCAAATTTTTAAAACTTAAACTATATAGGTAGGTATATTGTTATTAACTTAATTAGGGTACTCCTAAGGCTTAGGAAGAGCCACACTCAAGGAGCCAAGGAGCCGCATGTGGCTCGCGAGCCGCAGTTTGCCGACCACGGGTTTATACTAACTTATTTAATCCTCCAACAACGGCAGGAGATGGGTTACTATTACTACTCTCAGTCAGATGAGGATCTGGAGGCAGAGGTCAGGGACTTACTTGGTCAAGGTCACATCCGGTGAGTGGTGGGAGCCTGGTGTCAAAGCCTTCCCCCGACCCGCCACCTCTTCAACCCCTCGGGCAACCGGCAGGGTGCGCTCTGACCACTACAGACTTTTCTCGGGTAACCCTAAGCCCATGCAAGTTCCTGCTCCACTTCATCTCCCTGGGATTCTCCTGCCTAGTTATCCCCTAGAAAGGGTGGGTTAGCCCTGGCAATGTGGCTCAGTGGTTAGAGTGCTGGCCTGCACACCAAAGGGTCTTGACTTTGTTCCGGTCAAGGGCACATACATACCTAGGTTGCAGGTTCGCTCCTGGCTGGGTGGTGTGCGGGAAGCTACCAATCGATGCACATGGATGTTCTCTCTCTCCCTCCCTTCCACTCTCTTTCTAAAAAAAAATTATCAATGGGAAAAACATCCTCAGGTGAGGATGAACAAAAACAAAAACATTAAAAAGGGTGGGTTACGGTACTGCTTTTATACTCTGACTCCTTCCAACGACTCTTGAAGCTTTCCATCTGTAATGGTGCGCCTCCCCCATCACACGTCCATTTCAACGCCCCATCGGACACAACTCGGGTCTTAACCAGGAAGAGTGGCCGGTTCCCACACCACCCAACACGCTCCTAAGACACGCTCACACACGGGTCCCAGTGACGGCATTCCAGGCGGGCAGTATGGGCACTTACACAGCAGATCTCCTATCTGGAAAGCACTCGACAAATCAGAAAGCACTTTCTCACCATATCTCACTCGATCCCACAACATCCCTGTAAGAGGAGGCAGGGATTAGTCTCCATTTCACAGACAGGAAACGAGCGACACCTTCCTGCGGCACATCTGCCCGAACCCGGCACGTCCGTTCACTCGCCCTGCCTCTCCCTTCACCTGGGCCCACCTGGGTCCTCCTCTAACCTCCTTGCTTACAAATGGGGAAACGGAGGCAAAGAAACGCTCACGACTGAGTGTTAGGCAGTTGCAGAGCTAAAACAGGAACTCCGCTCACAGTGTTGCTCACAAGTTCTCAGAGGGCAGGATTAAGTCCTTTCACAAATAGTTATCAAATGCTAATTCTGGACTAGACACCATGCTCAGCGATGAAGAAGCAAACCGGGGAGGGAGACAACAGTAAAAGCAGCCGTTTCAGATCGTGGCACCTCCCAGGACGCCGGAACAGCAAGAGGCCGAGGAGGCCGGAGAACCATTCGTCCAGGTGGTTCGGGAAGGCCTCTCTCAGGTGACTTAGAAAAACATGCTCACCTGAGGACATGAGAAAGGAGGGGGGCGGGCGGGGGGGACTGACTGAGAGAGAAACACTGATCGGTTGCCTTCTACACACTCCTGCCTGGGGATGGAACCTGCAACCCGGGGATATGCTCTGACTGGACCGAACCAGCCATGTTTCCGTGCACGTGATGACACTCAACCAACTGAGCCCCTCCTGCCAGGACTCGCAGGCGACTTTAAAATATATACTTATGTTTTTATTGATTTCAGAGAGGAAGGGAGAGGGAGAAATAGAAACATCTATGAGGAGAAACTTCGGTCGGCTGCCTCCTGCACGCCCCTTACTGGGGAGCCTGCGACCCGGCACGTGGCCTGACCGGGAATCGAACCATGACCTCCTGGTTCATAGGTTGACGCTCAACCACTGAGCCACGCCGGCCGGGATCAGGTGGCTTTTATGTAAAATCCAAAGGGTGGGAAAGAGGCCGTCACGAGAAGAGTTAGAAGAGCATCCACGCAGGGAGCAGTGTTTTTCAGACAATCTCACTAGTCCAGCTTCTTGTTCAGGGGTCTTTGCTAAGAGCTACCGGACGCTGTCTCCCACTCCTACCTTCCCGCTTCCTCTCTTCAACTGGAATGGTCTGCTGAACCGTGGACTGAGGAGTTGAAGAGGCCCAATCCATGGGGCCAGAACCCCACATTTTAAAAGTGTATTCACTGAGGCCCGGAAGCCTGGCCTGTCAGTAATACTGCCCTGTTTGATGGCACAAGGAATTGGATTAAAGTATCAACACTGACTCCAACTCACAGAATCTTTTGTTTCCTCTCTGAACCTGAAGCTGACATTAACTTTCCCTACCTTCAAACTAACGTCTCTATTCATTGTGATTATTATTGTTGCTGTTAATCCTCACCAGAGGATATTTTTCAGAGTGTCCTTAACTGGTAATCAAACCTGAGACCCTTCGGTGAGCCGGCTGACACTGCCACTGAGTCACACCGGCCGGGGCCCAACTTCTCTACGAAACTTACATTCAGAACCTGGACACCCCCCGTTTTATCTGCCTTCACAAAGCATGTGTTTCTGCTGTGCCAACAACGCCAGGACGCCACGCACATTGTTTATCAGGGTTACTCATCAGCTCCCATGAGCAGGTCCCACCCGGCACGGAGGATGCTGCAGGGCCCCGCCGACGGCGAAGGGCCGTCCAGAGTCACTCAGAGTGGGAGAGAGTTGTTTCTCTGGTAGAGGGAGCCCAGGACATTCAAATTCCTGGAATTACCCCTGGCACCTCCTCCTCCCTCCTCTGCCCCTTTCTAAAGCAACCGGATGGTATGTGGACATTCAGGTCGGTTTCAGGCGTGTTGGATTGTACCTGTAATTTAGCAACTGGCTTTGGGAAGCTACCATCAGCATGAGCAGAGGAAGCGTGATCTGGTTCAGCTTCGGAGAAGCGGCGGTTAGGAGTTATTGTCACACAAACACTCAGGTCTACGGTGCGATCATGAAATCTCAGAGGAAGAGAGACCGTTGTCTTTAGTGAGCGGAAAGAAGGAAAGACAATTCATCGAAAGAGCAACGTTTACCTCTTATCAAAATCCGAATAACTCGGACACTTCCTAACCATCCCTGAACAACAGGTTTGCTCTGCGACCCTTATCGGCGACCGAGCCATTCCTGCTGAACTTTAAAATGTAAAATGTGCTTTCGTGCAGTTATTTATCAACCATTAGCTGTGTGCCAGGGCCCAGAAGATAGGAGCTGTGCGTGGCAGAGGTCCTGCCCTTAAGGAGTTTACAATCTAATGTGTGTTGGGTTATACATTGTTAGTTCAAGACCTCTGGCACCTATTAGAATAGCCACCGGAACACAGCTGGCCCGGCCGGCGAGCGAGTGTCGACCTATGAACCAGGAGGTCACGGTTCGATTCCCCGTCAGGGCACATGCCCAGCTTGTAGGCTCGATCCCCAGTGTGGGGCGTGCAGGAGGCAGCGGATCAATGATTCTCTCTCATCACTGATGTCTCTCCCTCTCCCTTCCTCTCTGAAATCAATTAATAAAAAAAAACAACAGCAACACAAAAGCAGCTGAACACACCTGGGTGCAGCGGGGATGACAGCGGGCTGAAGTCCACGCCGAAACCTCCGTCTCCCTTTAGGAAAGAGCCTGGCCACTCACATACTGGCAGCAGAGCCCGCCCGGTAACATGAAACCGACTTTTATTCTGGTCTTACCCAAATCTGGTCATTTCCTGAAACGGGTACCTAGCCGGTCTCTGATCGGTTTACATACAGCTTCCCTTAAAACTGTATAATTACAGACATGCAAAAAGAGAGAAAGAAAAAAAAAGCAGTTTTAACAAGAAGGCGAGGCTAGCCGTGGTGACTTAGTCCTCAGCACACACATCCCCCCCTGCATTCTTCCAGGTCCGCGAACGCTAGGACCGTGCACAACACCCGCTCCCCCAAAGAAGAAGAAGAAGAAGAAAAAAAAAAGCGTCTGAACCTCACCTTCCTTCACCCCTGACAGTTGCCTGGAAACCGGTCCTGCCCTACCTGTGTTGCAGGTGTACCTGAAGTCACCAGCACGTCTTTTAAAGCTACAGCCTCCGTTCCGACGGCGCTGAAGTTTATGACTAACCATCTATTCATACGTTTTATCAGGTAAAGAGACTGGTTTCCTCCGGGCCGTGACGACACCCTCGTAAAGCCGAGCCAGCGCCCGCCCGGCACCAATCAGGGCTGCGCGCCGCGGGGAGCTGAAGATAGCTTTAGAAATCTTATGCTTGTTGGGCCTCCTGTCTGAGCTATGCCCCAGTGAGCATAACAATGTGCACTAAATTACATTAGTTAGCTTATTGTTTAGATGTTGTTAGCTAGTTGTTTACCAGAGTCTTCTTATTCCCCTCATAAGAACACTGTTAGAATACGCAGCCCCCCTTGCAGGTAGGTATGGCCATGTGACTTCGTTTTGTCCATGGACTCTAGGCAACAGTAAGTTTAAAAAATTACAGCCCAGCCCATTTCATTTGACTTACAATCCTCTCTGCTCACTCTTTCTTTACCGCCTTGCCTCAGTGGGTTCTGAGATCCTAATCAAAGACAGCCCAGCTAGA